GCGCACCCTAACGTTAAATATCTCAACCTCAAGGAGAGTTCATAGCGCACCCTAACGTAAAATATCTCAACTTCAAGGAGAGTTCATAGCGCACCCTAACGTTAAATATCTCAACCTCAGGGAGAGTTCATAGCGCACCCTAACGTTAAATATCTCAACCTCAAAGAGAGTTCATAGCGCACCCTAACGTTGAATATCTCAACTTCAGGGAGAGTTCATAGCGCACCCTAACGTTAAATATCTCAACCTCAAAGAGAGTTCATAGTGCACCCTAACGTAAAATATCTCAACTTCAAGGAGAGTTCATAGCGCACCCTAACGTTAAATATCTCAACCTCAGGGAGAGTTCATAGCACACCCTAACGTTAAATATCTCAACCTCAAAGAGAGTTCATAGCGCACCCTAACGTTGAATATCTCAACTTCAGGGAGAGTTCATAGCGCACCCTAACGTTAAATATCTCAACCTCAAAGAGAGTTCATAGCGCACCCAAACGTAAAATATCTCAACTTCAGGGAGAGTTCATAGCGCACCCTAACGTTGACAGCATCACAAAATATTGACTAACGTTCACTAACGTTCACAAACGTTCACTACAAAATGATTGGAACGTACGTTCAGTACGACTAAGTTCAGCGTTCACTACAACTAAGGTTAAAACAATAAAAGATTTAAAAGGAATATTTGTGTACCGGATCGCTCTTAACCGGTACTACACTACTACTACTTGTAATTATCGTTAAACTCAAAGCTTCATCCTTTTGTTGCAGTATACGAACACCAGCTTTTCACTTCAAAAGCCCACATGCACGTGCAAAAATTTGCGAGCGACATTTTTATCGGTTTTGTGGTAATTAGGTTGTGTTAAGTGCGAGATACATTTTAATCAGCTGTGTCTTCGGTTGTGATAGATATTTTTGATGCAATAAAACTGCAACTTCCCTCCCTGTGACCACGGGCTTCCTAGTCATATTATAATTCGAATGATTATTTTTGTTTGTTTGTCTGACCGCCCATATGTGCTTACCTGGGGACCTCAGGCTATTATGTTCATAAACATCTAGAGATTAGGCGGAATGACAGGCTGAGCGTGACCCAGTAAATATGTGCAGATCAGATGAGATACGCGCACGCAAAATTAGATTATTGGAACGTCAATTTGATCGGTTTGTTGTTATATTACTTCGTGTACATAATGTTTTACATTTTAATCGGTTATGACGGATGTTTTTTATGCGATAATAAAAACTGACCATCAAAAACACAAAAAAGTACTTCTACTATTATCCTCCTCCCTGTGACCCCGGCCTTTCATTATGATTAATTATATTATATAAAACATTTAATGACAGATAAAACCGTCCTTAGATCTTAATGGGTGCCGATAGAAATTTTGACCTATAAGTGCTATCTGGATATCTCTCTGATAAACTAAAAGCAAACGAACTGTTCTATAAGTATAAGTGAAACTCAAACAGTGACAATAGCATTGTACCATTAGCTGTAGAAGTATGGAATGGGACAGCCTTGCTCACGAGATTTACCTAATTGCTGTTGTTCTATATCTTTAATATTCCATTTCCTTGTAGCGTGAGCACTTATTGTTTGCCCATTGTTTTATGAAGGATTATGTGATTAAAGGGGGAAGCCGAGAATCTTTGCCTGGGCAACAGGAATGTATCAAGTTGTATGGCATCGCAACTAGGTTATTTTCTTGTAAAGTTGTAAGAGGGCAATTATGTAATTGAATGTTGGACTCAAAGCTGTAAAAGGTTATGATTACTATGTTCTGCAAGGTTGGCATTGTCAATCAATCAATTATTATCCATGATGCTCCCACTTAAATGATAATATTGTCTCTAATATTGCTTGATTAAGGGCAAGGCGCGTGTTTAGAAAGGTCTTACCAGTTTACCAGTACTTATGGGTGCTTGTGATTCGGTAATTCAACGACATAACAGACACTTTAAGTTTATGCACAGTACACATTTAATAATAATTATTATAAAATACAAATAACTAATTTACATTTACAACATACAAGGCAGGGAAGTAACAACCCATAAGCTAGGTAGTTTACCAGTTTAAGTTAAAGTCTCCGTCAAGAAGCTTAAGGAAATACAATTTCTTGAGGTGAGAACATACATGTATCCCCAAGAAATCTTTATCACAGTTCAGATAAAACTTAAAAGAGCTGCGAATATGAAGGCATTTTGTAAATCAGTCGCACAGTCGGGCATACAGATTATTCGTAACGGTAAGCAAAGCTAAACTGGGTATTTCACAGTGCAGTTAAGCTTATCGTCCTGTCTTGTAAAGGCGGTTCAATGCATTGGATTTGGTGCTTTAATCGACGATTACCCCACCCCTTTGAACTGTGAGGATTAGGAAGAGGGAGAATATGGTTTGAGGAGAGCTGGGGAGCCGGATAAAACAAAGCATTTCGTTAAAGCTATCACCATAAAATGTAGAGGCTGTATATACTTCTGCTTGATATGGATTATAACTGGTCCACTATTCAACCAATCGCATGCCTGGATCTCGAGGATTGACCATTACTTGCATTAGCAACCTTGGATTTTATTCACGTGTTGGAGCGATCAGGATTAACTCAGAACAACAGGGACGCTAAGCATTTCTATTGCCTTTCGACTTAATCCTCGCCCCGTTGGAACGCTGCGTGAGCATATTTTATCATATAAAAAGGTGCCAAGCCCAAATCAACTTAACTCGTGAGAGGCCTTTATTTGTGTAATTTGCTCAATTTATAGGGGCATGCTCATTTTGGTTGGAAGTTTCTTCAAACCTTATATAACTGAGTATATCTTTTTTGGCAGGTGGTATGACACGGTGACGCGTGACACAAGCATCAGCGAAAACTGGTGTGATGAAGCATACGTTAAAGCAAAAAGAGACAGTTATTAGTTCAAAGTTTTCTTCTACTACTTACTTGCTTGGGTTACTTGGGGTTGCTTCATAGATCCTCTATCGGGTCATCAGAACGGCTGACCACCCGTGCAGCGAAGTTGCTGTCTTTTCTGCGCTCCAGTTCAATAACAAATTCCCGTTCTGGCAACAATATCCAGTAACAGGAGGTTCGTCCGGAATGGATGTAACAAACTCCGTCAACAATGACTTGAAGCGTAGGGGGTCCTCGATAAGGTGAAGGTTTGCGGGAATGATGTTCCACAATCGAGGCCCCATCACTACAAATGAGCTGTCAAAGATCGATTGATTCCTTTGGCTACTGGACGTTGACTAGCTAGGGACTACTGCTTTCTGGCCATAACGGAGTGTATCTGTAAACTGAACGTTGACATCATTAGGACACTTCTTGTGTAGGATCTTCCACATATGAATGATAGTGTAACGTTCTCTCCTCCGTTGAAGTGACATCAATTTTAAGGCCTTCAGTCTCTGCCAATAGTTCAGATGTTGCACACCATGTATTTTGGACGTAAATGTACGTTGTACTCCCTCTAGCTCAGCGATATCAGCTTGCTTAGTTGAATTCCAGAGGGCCAGGAGACAACAGTACTCGAGATGGCTTCTGACTAATGACTTGTAGAGGGTCAGCATAGTGATCTTGTTTCTCGATCTAAAAGCGCTCAGAACCCAAAAGGCAACTTTACGGGCACGATCTTCTATCATAGTAACATGGGAGCTCCAAGACAAGTCCGCCGAGATCAAACCCCCAGGTCTTTGACTGCATCCGTAGGGTACATTATGTTACCATGCAAAACTTGATAAGTTTGCGTCAGGATGGCAAACGGGAGGTCTTGCAAGCTGTTTCGGGGACAGTGTTTGTGCACTACTAACTACTACTACTACCAAAATGCGCGCGGAGTTGAATTGGACTCGTCGACGGTCGCGGTCTTGCGGAACAAATATTTTACAAATATACAAGTACCCGTTAATAGTTAACCATGAACGATCTTTTCGATACAACGCAAAAGTTATAGTTTGCGCGGCGCGTCGAAGCGGCGATTTACTCCAACAATTGGTAAGTACGTTTGTAAACACTGCACTATTACAATTAGCCTATGCACTGTGGGATCTGAAAGTACAATACATAATTGGTTATGGCCAGGGGACCTGCAGAGGCTATAATGTTCATAAACATGTAAACTATTTGACATGCGTTGCATGCCACTTTTCGCGCGCGATAGATTATAGAGTAAAATTCAGCGGAATGATTCACATAGCCATGTGTCTACGCGTACATAGCCATGTGTCGCGCGCTACTGCAAGCGAGAGGGCTCTGGTTAGAGCAAGCGGAATAACAGGCTGAGCGCCAACCAGTAAAGTAATTAATAAATGATAAACAAAAGTTGAACTAGCCACCCCACAGTCACACAAGTTATGTGTTTTTAAATACAATTATGACCCAAAATAGTTATACGTTGTATGACCCGCGCCGCGCACAAGTGCGCGGCTCCCCCTTTGCTCTTACCTGTTACCAGAGCCCTCTCGCTTGCAGTAGCGCGCGACCGCCAACTTGTGAAACAAGCGCGTCACGCAGTACGCGTATACACATTGACGGATGTTACTCGTCTAAATTTCTTCGAAGTAGCGCGCGCCGCTTTCTTCTGGCCCGATGGCAAGTGTTACGAAGTAGCGCGCGCCGGGTCAGACTTCACATAGCCATGTGCCTACGCGTACTGCGTGACGCGCTTGTTTCACAAGTAGGATAGGCACATACAGATCAGCACACATAAGATGGTACGTGTGCGCGCGCGCAGTGCTGACAATTGCGTCGTATTTAACCCCGGGTGCACGTACATCGTGTGCGATTATTTATACTTATCGAAGGCTATAAATGCCTCTTGTTTATTTTAATTTGGTATTGTTCACTTTTAGACGATAAAATACAGGAATTGCGGTATAATAATACAAATAATTAAGATTGTACGATCAAAATACATCACGAAACAGTATCAACTACCTCGCTACTTATCAACTTATACTATGCACTATGCGGCAAAGATACACAATGCAATATTTATATACTTATAGAATAAACGAAACACAGTATTCAGTATTTACTAGTACTACCCCGCTACTAGTAGTAGTACTACAACTTAATGCGACAAAGGTCAAAGATATTGTATAAAATATAACTAAATAAACAATACGGTGCCCATGCCTGAGCTTTATAAAACTGGAAACACTTCTCAGATTAATTATTTTGCTTCTCAAAAACAATTACAAACTAACAATTTTCGACGTTAAACAGCTACATTAAACATTAACATTACACTTCACAATCCGAAAGAAAGGGGCTCATCGCTGCAGGCCTGACTTTGACTTGATCCTGAAAAAGTACATGTCATTTAGGTACCGCGACAATTGTGAATTGACCCCCCGACAATTGACCCCCTATGTAATTACACTGGGGTCAATTGTCGCGAAATCTAGGGTTTAGTACGACAATTGGCCCCCCGAAAATTGACCCCCTACCTATGTAATTAAACTAGGGTCAATTGTCGCGAAATCTAGGACTTAGTACGACAATTGACCCCCATGTAATTACACTGGGTCAATTGATCGGGTTAGGGTCAGGGTCAGGGTCAGAGTCAGTGGTCAGGGTCAGGGTCCTGGATCAGGGTCAGGGTCAGGGTCAGGGTCAGGGTCAGGGTTAGGCCTAGGGTTAGGGTTAGGGTTAGGGTTAGGGTTAGGGTTAGGGTCCTGGGTCAGGGTCAGGGTCAGGGTCAGGGTCAGGGTCAGGGTCAGGGTCAGGGTCAGGGTCAGGGTCAGGGTCAGGGTCAGGGTCAGGGTCAGGGTCAGGGTCAGGGTCAGGGTCAGGGTCCTGGATCAGGGTCCTGGATCAGGGTTAATTGTATTAAATTATATTGTCGGGGGGTTAATTGTCGGGGGGTAAATTGTCGCCCACCCGTCATTTAATGTAATTACATAATACAATATAATACATAATACAATGTAAATGTTGCTGTTACAAAATGTATAGCTAACATAAGCGAGCGTTCATGTATGACGTCAGCAGCCGAGGGAAAAGGGTATTTGGAAATGCTGACGGTTGCCTTGTTAACGTCAACAAAAATACGTGAATTCAAATCAATTTTATTAGCAATAAAACGTCACTAATTTCCTTAAAATTAGTACTCGAACTGAACTCTGGTGACCAACTGCTTAAATCAGTCACACACTAATTTTCCCTGCCTCATGCCTACTACTGGAAACTGTATCTCCAGACAAGTGTCAGACGTTACTATGCATTGGTTGCTCTTCAAAAAGGTTAGCAAAAAGATAAAGAGTGCGACCCTGATAAACTTTTGGGAGAGATTCATCGACGACATATTTGGAGTGTGGATGGGGACAGCGGGACAATTTACAATGTTTGTCGAATTGTTGAACAAACTGGCTAAATCAAACTGGCAGAACCATATAGAATCAAGGTTAACTTTTTAGACCTTACCTTGAGCTTGGACTCAGAAAATCAGATCTGGTACAAGCTATTTAGAAAGGAAACAGATGCTAGGAACTACTTGAGATCAGATACATATGTAGTTTCCAACCCCACAATGTGTAGAGGACCTGGGCGAACTAAAGGAGGATCTTGCCAGATGCGGACACAACAACAACGGTGACAAACTAGAAGAAATTGAGCCGAAAGCAATACAGAGGTCTATTGAGAACCCAGGAAATCCAACCAGAGACACTGAGGATAAGACACAACAGAGCCTCGTATTTTCCGTACAACACTCTTGATAACATTAGTCTTACAAAGTTGGTTAAGAACTTAATCTGGTCATTAAGCTACTAGGTTAATGTTATGTGGGGATGTACGGATAGTATTTGCCACTAGGAAACACCCTTCAATCGGTAATACACTAGAAAAGAATCGACAACTGGGACAACTGGAAACCCTTGATGTAGGACAATTACAGAGGTGTAATGGACCTAGCTGCAAAATTTGCCCCGTCCTCTTTGACAAGGACTCAAAAGATCATGGGGAGGGGGGGGGGGGGGGGGCAATGACTACCAATGGAGACTTTTGGGGACTAATGGGGACTAAAAATCATGGGGACTAGAGGTCAACTCGTTGACGTAATTCACCATTTGTCCCCATAAGTCCCCAGAATTTTTGACAGTTATTTATGGTTTTCAAGTTAGTTTAATAACGATACGATCGAGATGTTTTGTCCAAGATAAGAGTAGGATAAATCTAAATGGGGACTAATGGAGACTTTTGGGGACTAAAAATCATCTAAATGGGGACTAATGGAGACTTTTGGGGACTAAAAATCATGGGGACTCGGGGTAAAATCGTTGACGTAATTCCCCAAGTCCCCAAAAGTAGTCATTGGCCCCCCCCCCCCCCCCCCCCGATCATGGTCAACAACATAGAACTGGTGCTAGACGGAACTCTAAAATGCAAGGACAAGCATGTTATCTACCTTATTGGTCATAATTATCACGGACATTACTTTCACACTGAAGACCTCAGCGTGAATAATTATGTCCGTGAAAATAATGTCTGTGGTATTAAGGGGAGATACACCAAAAACGTTTTTGCTCCGAACATCGATTTTATTTTATATTATGGTTAAATAGACAAAAAGAATAAGATTGCACACCTTCAAAATTTTCTAAAAATATTCCCTCATCGAGAAAAAAAATATTTTTCTTTTTCGAAAATTTTTAAAATGTTGAGAAGTCTGTCACTGTAATACCGATAGTTCAGCCATTTTAAAAGTTTTTTGGCTGATATTTTTACTGAACATTACTTACAATCCGTACAAGAAGCCATTGAACGGATTATATAATTGAATGATAAATGACGAAGTTACAGACCAAACAAGGTCGAAAAAATAAAAATTGAAATTTTTCCCACTTCTAAAATTGTACATTTCACCAATCACCCGGGTCAGCAGATATCGCTTTAAAAATTATTGTGAGTGTAGCTGATGATCATATCAACCTTTTTGGAGTAGGATTTCTCTCAGATTTGAGTTTTAAGCTATGCAATGTGGCATCAAACGACTTAGTAAAATTCATCGTAAAAAAGGGCAAAAAAGGCAGATTTAAGGCTTAAAATGCCTATAACTCAAAAAGTATCAGTTTTTTTGAAATAATTTTTACAGAATCGTAATCAGCTTGGTAAGACGAATCTTTTAGTACCAAATAGGTTCTTTTAGAAGACAAATTGTCTTAAATAATTTTCTAGCTGGAACACAAGGGTCCCCCCTTGTATAAATTTTGTACAAATTGTGCACATTTTTTTACAAATTTTGTGTCTTTAAATATTATAAATGTCGTACTAAAAGATTCGTCTTACCAAGCTGATTACGATTCTGTAAAAATTATTTCAAAAAAACTGATACTTTTTGAGTTATAGGCATTTTAAGCCTTAAATCTGCCTTTTTTGCCCTTATTTACGATGAATTTTACTAAGTCGTTTGAGGCCACATTGCATAGCTTAAAACTCAAATCTGAGAGAAATCCTACTCCAAAAAGTTTGATATGATCATCAGCTACACTCACAATAATTTTTAAAGCGATATCTGCTGACCCGGGTGATTGGTGAAATGTACAATTTTAGAAGTGGGAAAAATTTCAATTTTTATTTTTTTGACCTTGTTTGGTCTGTAACTTCGTCATTTATCGTTCAATTATATAATCCGTTCAATGGCTTCTTGTACGGATTGTAAGTAATGTTCAGTAAAAATATCAGCCAAAAAACTTTTAAAATGGCTGAACTATCGGTATTACAGTGACAGACTTCTCAACATTTTAAAAATTTTCGAAAAAGAAAAATATTTTTTTTCTCGATGAGGGAATATTTTTAGAAAATTTTGAAGGTGTGCAATCTTATTCTTTTTGTCTATTTAACCATAATATAAAATAAAATCGATGTTCGGAGCAAAAACGTTTTTGGTGTATCTCCCCTTAAGGTCCGTGAATAATAAAGTCCGATAATTATTTCCATTAATTTTAGTGTGCGTCCCACATAGGCGTAGATATGTCTGTAGCCGATTACTATATTAGCTAATTAGTATACTAGGACAAATATAATCACTCCTCAGTCACATTCCAGAGTTCAGAAAAAGAGTAAAAAACTGAATATTAAAAACTGGAGTTATTTCAATTTTAAGGAAGTCATTTTGGCTAGTATCCCGAACCGAGATATTATATGTGCAATTTTTTTCATGGAAGCCTTTTTACTTAGTACTTTAGTATCCACTACAGGCACGTAGTCAGGATTTTTCTTTGGGGGGCCCTTGGCGAGCGGAGCGAGCCGACCCGTTCAATCCAGCTGCACAACAAAATTTGTTGTTTTCTTGATTTTTTATGTATGGTGTAAAACAGTGTAGAGAAGTGTACGATCGAAGAATATTTCCAGATTTAAACATGTAACAATTGTTGTTTAAATGCTACCTGAAGCTGTTCAAATGAAATTGAACTGGGAGAATCGAGAAGATTACAAGTCACAGCTACGTACAACAATCAGGGTCAGGAATGAAAAGGGATACGTAGATAGAGTTCCTTATAATCCCTGACTACGACAGGGAGCTGAAGGCAGATCTGGGAGGGTCTGGGCACAATATTATATTGCTATTATATTATCATCTGCACACTTATACTTTAACTTAGCTTAAACTAATTACAACACTACAAATCCATTACATTTATTGAGGATATGAGTATGACGTAGTTATGTCGATACGTTATTCAACTATTTATTTCTATTAGAATCTGTCTTCACTAAGTCTATTTAGAGACAATCAGAAATTTGAATCATTTATCAAGACATTATACTTATACATCACAAAACCTCGACTTGATTTACAACTTAACTTCACAAACACTAATCATATAATACAAACTTACTCTGTCGGTTATCATACTATAATTCAAGGCAACATTAGCGTCCGTGAATTGATCTCTGCAGGAGCCCTCCCTTACTAAAACTTGTGTCTTCATCTGCCGTATTACTTGGAATATCGCCGGTCTCAGCTTCAAACATAAAGGTATGATATTCAATAGACGCCGCTCTGCAAACGTCACCTGAAAAGGGATAAGTAGATAGAGCTCCTTATAATCCCTGACTACGACAGGGAGCTGAAGGCAGATCTGGGAGGGTCTGGGCACAATATTATATTGCTATATTATCATCTGCACACTTATTCTTAGTTTTAAACTAATTACAACACTACAAATCCATTACATTTATTGAGGATATGAGTATGACGTAGTTATGTCGATACGTTATTCAACTATTTATTTCTAAATTAGAATCTGTCTTCACTAAGTCTATTTAGAGACAATCAGAAATTTGAATCATTTATCAAGACATTATACTTATACATCACAAAACCTCCGACTTGATTTACAACTTAACTTCACAAACACTAATCATATAATACAAACTTACTCTGTCGGTTATCATACTATAATTCAAGGCAACATTAGCGTCCGTGAATTGATCTCTGCAGGAGCCCTCCCTTACTAAAACTTGTGTCTTCATCTGCCGTATTACTTGGGAATATCGCCGGTCTCAGCTTCAAACATAAAGGTATGATATTTAATAGACGCCGCTCTGCAAACGTCACCTTATCACCTACCTGAAACAGATTTTAAGATAAGCAACTAAATAAAGATTCGTTGAGATTCTGAGTTTCTGCCCTGACGGCTAACCAAATAAAATTTGGTCGGACAGACTCATCTCGCATATTAGGAAAAGCAGCTGAGGTTTAAGATATTTACCTTCTTTCAGATTTCTTTTTTAGACTGAACTAAACTTTAAACGATAACCTCTGAATGATCTGAACAACTAACTTTAAGGACATCGATCCTAAGAAATGGCCGTTTTTAAAAGCTTTAAAAAATTTCAAAGGGTCTACACAATGTCAATAACGCGCGGCCGGCTGGCGCTAGATATTGTAAAAGGCTTACGATTTTTTCCTTTATTCATCAGAAAGTCAATGTGGCAGACATAAAGAGCTAAAACTCTGTCAAAGCTTCTAGATCAATCTTTCGATACTGTTTAGGCGGGAACTACAGGAGGTGCTATTTTCAGGTCCGTCTAGATCTCTGATAGGAAAAGTTAGTGGATCACTGGATCCGTCCCTGAAGTGAAACAAATGTTACTATCTTGCAAATGTTAACCATTTTATTTCGATTAGAATCGAATTTAACATACTTAAACTTGATATGATGTAATAATGAGGTACGTGTAAAAATCAAGGGTATCCCTCGAGCCAGTTCAGCTTGTGTAATATAACAAAATAAATAGGGAAAAATAAGGGAGAGTACCTGGTGCCATGCTGTGTCAACAGAAGCGCTGAGGATAAATTCAGTGAGCATTAGTTGGAAAGGATTGTCATCAGTTACTGTGTGAGTTAGTGTTGTGGTGGACGAAAGGATAAGCCGCTGATCAGGGATATAGGCCCCTCCTCACGAACTCTCTGCTGTGTTGGCGCAACGAGTGAGACTTTGGGGTGGTCAAAAGATGTGATGGTCCCGTCAAGTCTTGGCGAAACTCAACATAGGTCAGATAGGTAGAAAACAATGCCATTGGAAAACTCTATCCAATGCAATAGTCACATTATAGTCATTTCTAGAAAAAAAAAAACCTGGTTAATGTTGTTTAATGTGAGAGAATAAGATAAAAGAGTCGACCAATTTTTGTCAGTGTAAATATTGTCAAACAGCGGGCTCCAAAATCGTCTAGGGGGAAAGAGCCCTGAATATCAGCTATCTGCCTTAGTACCTTGGCTCTAAAGTCTAAATTATGCAGCGATGACGACATAAAAAGTCGCTGTATCATGGCAAATCTTGCTTTGTCAGAACTAAAAGAAGGTTTAGGAGCAAAGTAAATATCAGACTTAAGATATGAAAGCACAGAAAGACTGAGTCAAATGTACAATTGTAGCTGCTGTCAGCTATTCTGCATCAAATAAAATATTAAGGGGCCATCTACTTAGGACGTCCAGCAAAAAGGGAGGGGGAGGTGGTTTTGGAATTTCGGACAAATCCGGACAGTGATAGGGAGTGGTTTCTGAAAATCCGGACGTCCGGAAATTTTGGCAGAATTAACGAAAAAGTCGCATTTATTTCAACTCTTTGACACTAATTACTCAGTAAGTTTAGATCCCTGTATTTTGAACGAGAAGTCGTTTCCCAGAGCAGCTCATGAGAGCCGAGACACAACTCGCATATTCTGCTACTGCCTTAAAACTTATTCCATTGGATGGCTACCTACTTAAGTACCTTAATGTAACTGTGCTAAACTTGTTCGACACTAAATGTATTATTGTCTATTCTAAGTGACTACACATTTTATTAACAATGAATTTGAGTTGGTTTTATTTGTACTCTTTAAAGTAGCTGGAAATCCGGACGTCCGGGGGAGGGGGTTTGAAAATTCGGACACACCCGGACAGGGGGAGGGGGTGCTCCCCGGGGGTGGTCTGAAAATCTGCAATTTTGACGGACGTCCCAAGTAGATGGCCCCTAAAGTCTAAACAAAAGTTCTCAAAACGTACACAACGAGAGAGTGTCGACCTACATGTCAATGAAACAGACTGTTTCACTGTTTGAGACAACACGTGTGTTTGCGCGCAATTCTGGAATAATCCGAGAGATGAACTGTAGCGAGTGTAACTTTAGTGTGCAGATGAGTGTGTACTTCGATGTATACTATTTCTGCACGTACAGGATCCTTTGTAAGGGGTCATTCACATATTTAGTTGTCACTCACTTTGCTAACCAATACAGCAATACTGGGGTAGGTTCACTGATAGTGTTTCTCAGAGATATAGATGGCTGTAAATTATGCTAATAAATATATAAAAATAAATATGGTCAAATGTTAAACAATGAGATGATTTAAGAGAAGCAAATATTAGTGGACTGAAATTATAATCTGATAAAGTGCAGCTGTGAACTCAAATGTATAAAACAAACTCACAATTCGGATCGAACAGTTTAAAATGAAACACAATAAGACAGAGTAATTGGTAAAATGTTAAACAATAAGCTGTTTTAAGACAAGAAAATATTAGTCGACTGAAATTATGATCTGATAAAGTGCAATGTGAACTCAAATGTATAAAACAACAGATCGAACAGTATACAATAGTACATTTAACAAATGTACTATTGCAAATGACAAAAGTGTAATAAGGTAACTGGTAACAAGTCTGCTGGTTATTCAAAATTTAACATTAAAATATGTCCCGGCCCTTTGAATCATCCGCCGAATGATCAACTGAATGATTGCAACAGACAAAGAAACAAGCAAAATTTGTTAAATGGAGTGCATGATCAAAGAAGGTATATTAGCTCCCTACAAAAATCTAATCCAATGAGAAAATAAATCTAAAGTCCAATTGCAAAAGACAAAAGTGTAGCAAGGTAACTGCATGGGTAACAAGTCTGCTGGTTATTGAGAATTTAACATTAAAATATGTCCCGGCCCTTTGAATCATCCGCCGAATGATCAACTGAATGATTGCAACAAACAAAGGAACAAGCAAAATTTGTTCAGAATAAAACAAATATTCAGAATAAAACAAATATTATATTCAAATCTCTTTATTCAACAATATTAAATCATTATAGAACCTAATTTGTGGCTTGATCGTTATGTTAGGGCTATTCTGTTAGCTGATGCTGACAGGCACTGCATGGGGCAGAGACTTAGGACCATTACGCTGGAGGCTTACAATGACCCTTTTTGAACCCCATGGCAGTGCTAGTTTTATTATGGTACAAATTGTAAATCGAAGTTATGAAAACGATCAAGTCACTCCTGTTTTACACTATCAACAGCTACTTAAAACAACCTAGATTGTACAACTCACTTTGAAGATTAAACTGTTAAGTGATGAGTGATTGGGCTCATTAAACATTTTAGTAGCGGAGACATGCGGATCAGCTTCTTGAGGTTCTAATAGTTCATTCAGACAAGAAGTTTTACTTTTTCAAATTTAGTTGTTCAAGCTGCCTGAGTTCAGAAAGTTTGCCAAAGGGGCCCAGGTATTCTTGTCACCTTTACCCTGAGACGAGAGAAGTCGTTCAGTGCCAACATCTGACGGAATGAATTCCAAAGGCAACTAGATTTGTAAACGAAACTGTTTGAGGGCATGGTTGTTATAAGAAGAGTTTCTTTGCCGGGTCTTTTAGACAAACAGAAAAGTTCAAATAGTGCAATTGGTGTTCGATACTTAAACACTTTAAAAAGTTCATTGCAGCAGTGTTACGCGTATAAATTATGCAATGTCATGAGTGATTGACGGGCAAAAATTGGCTTGGTGTGCTCTCTCTCAAAGAATTTGCTAGTAAGTTTCTGTTCACTGATGGGTCTAGTCCTAGCACATGTCATAAATTTATCAAGGTATGCTTTTTTGTCACCAAACATGATACGAAGGGTATAGGACACAAGGGCGGAAGACGCGTGGGCGGAGGTCGCGTAGGCGGAAGACTTGAGGGCGGAGGACGCAAGGGCGGAAGTTTCCTAAAAGGTTGGACACGAGGGCGGAGGTCGCGAGGGCGGAGGTCGATCCCATGATTTGGGCGGAAGACTCGTAAAACGATCACATGTCCTAAATGCTCGACTGGTAATACTACAAAACCGGAAACATCACACAACGTACTTCAAATTGTATAAATTATATAAGTTATATTCAATCAAAGTTATATTCAATCATTTTAGTGGTACTGATTTCGAATTCTTTGTAACTTTACAAACAAAATACACAGGGTTATACTTATAGAGAACGCTTAACGGTAATATAAATCACAATGTAATCAATCAATTTTGTCAAACCCGAATAGAATAATATCACAATAACATAAACATTTCACATAGCACAACATCATCCTCGTACGAATGGTAGTTCTGAACTATGCTGAAGATTCTTCTATCCTTGTCGCTATTGGCCTTCCTCCTCTTAGGCTGCTGCTCTCCAAGCGAATTCGCTAAGGTCTTCTTGTCTGTCGAGGACTGTTCCATCTGGACTAGGAGATTCTGACGTTGACTCAAGTTGTTCGTTTCACTGTGCAATCTTTTCGTGTGAAAACTGTTGATCATATCCCAGAAGCCCTTGTGTCATGTGACTCAAACTATCGAATCGAGTCACGTGATACATAACTTCGACTCACGTCATGAATCACCATGGTCATGATCTCATATAACACAACGGTATGTGAGGACATCACAACATCACGAGCGATCTGGGATCTGATCTGGCATCTGTAAACTGATCTGGGATATGATCAACTGTTTTCACACGAAGAGATTGCACAGTGAAACGAACAACTTGAGTCACAACGTAGACGACTCGAGAGACAACTAGTATATTTAATACCGATGTTGGGAATAGAAGTATCTTATTATTTAGTTCCAGCTACATCTCAACTACTACAATAACAACCATGTACGATGAAGATACAGTAAAGATTATCAGAGGAAGGACTCCTACCAGTCAGAATCTCCTACACGGTGGTTTCCGCTACTCTAAGGATGGAAAGCTTACCACCGATGGACGCCAAGCCTGGAGATGTGTGAGGAAGAAAGACTGTTGCCGTGGTCGTCTGTATACCCTGAACGAATCCTTGGTGAAAGTGACACAGATACATAACCACGACGCTGATATCGCTGACTGTGAATTGAAAGAAGTCCTCGCTAAAGTCCAGGATCTGGCTGCTACGACGATGACTACTAACCACAACATCGTTTGCTCCGTTACTGGTCCCATGTCTCAGGATGCACGTGCCCGCCTCCCCAACGAACAAGCGGTGAAGTTCATCTGGCCAGAAGAACTACACCCCTACACGAATCTGGATACGGAGACTGATGCTCCTAGCCTTCATCCCCACCGAGGACGTCATCGAAGCGTTTTTCAGAATCCTGGATGATATACCGATAGGCCTCGACATTGACGATCTCCTGGCATACTTCCAGACCACTTGGATCCAGGGACTAACGACTGCCTCCGGCACCGGACGAGCTAAATTCCCTCCGTCCACGTGGAATGCCTATGAACGCAGCCACTTCAACATGAACCGGACAAACAACGTGGTGGAGTCCTGGAACAAGAAGTTCTCTGCTCTAGTCGGACACGCAAACCCGACCATCTACAATTTCATTGCAGCAGTCCAGATGGAACAGTCCTCGACAGACAAGAAGATCTTAGCGAATTCGCTTGGAGAGCAGCCGCCTAAGAGGAAGAAGGCCAACAGCGACAAGGATAGAAGAATCCTCAGCATAGTTCAGAACTACCATTCGTACGAGGATGATGTTTTAACCTATATTGATTTGCTAAAGAGTGCTATGTGAAATGTTTATGTTATTGCATGATATTATTCTATTCGGGTTTTGACAAAATTGATTGATTACATTGTGATTTATATTACCTTTAAGCGTTCTCTATAACCCTGTGTATTTTGTTTTTAAAGTTACAAAGAATTCGAAATCAGTACCACTAAAATGATTGAATATAACTTATATAATTTATACAATTTGAAGTACGTTGTGTGATGTTTCCGGTTTTGTAGTATTACCAGTCGAGCATTTAGGACATGTGATCGTTTTACGAGTCTTCCGCCCAAATCATGGGATCGACCTCCGCCCTCGTGTCCAACCTTTTAGGAAACTTCCGCCCTTGCGTCCTCCGCCCTCAAGTCTTCCGCCTACGCGACCTCCGCCCACGCGTCTTCCGCCCTCCTGACTGGTTCCCGATACGAACACACTTTTTCTGGGCTACAAATAGTGGTTGAAGTTTATTATTACTTGCACCTCCCCAAACGGTAATGCCATAAGATAGGTGACTTTCAAACAGTGTGTGGTACAGGTCCTTATGGATAGATGATGGAATTTTATCCTTAATCATGTATAGCCTCCCAGAACAGGACGAGAGTTTTCTAACTAGTTTGTCTCTATAGGGATTGAAAGTTAGGCCTTCGTCGACAATTACTCCCAGAAATTTCGTTTCCTGCACCTTTGAGAGAGGTAGGCCATTGAGGTAAAGTCTATTTTCAATTAATAAAGATTGATCATCAAGTTTTCTTTTAGCTGTATTGAATTCTATATAGCAACTTTTCTTGGCGTTAACATGTAATTTATTAGCCAATGTGTACTCGTGGACTGATCGTAGGACCCTATTAGCATTATTGTAGGCCTCTGCTCTATTTTTGGCAACTACAAATATGTTTGTATCATCAGCAAATAAGACATAGCTAGTGTTATCGAGTTGAGAGTTTGTTAAGTCATTTATGTATATTAAAAACAGGAGAGGCCCAAGGCAGCTCCCCTGTGGAATGGAGTGCATGATCAAAGAAGGTATATTAAAGCTCCCTACAAAAATCTAATCCAATGAGAAAATAAATCCAAAGTCCATTTGCAAAAGACATAAGTGTAGCAAGGTAACTGCATGGGTAACAAGTCTGCTGGTTATTGAGAATTTAACATTAAAATATGTCCCGGCCCTTTGGAGCATCCGCCGAATGATCAACCGAATGATTGCAACAGACAAAGAAACAAGCAAAATTTGTTAAATGGAGTGCATGATCAAAGAAGGTATATTAGCTCCCTACAAAAATCTAATCCAATGAGAAAATAAATCTTAAGTCCAATTGTAAATGACAAAAGTGTAGCAAGGTAACTGGTAACAAGTCTGCTGGTTATTGAGAATTTAACATTAAAATATGTCCCGGCCCTTTGGATCATCCGCCGAATGATCAACCGAATGATTGCAACAGATAAAGAAACAAGCAAAATTTGTTAAATGGAGTGCATGATCAAAGAAGGTATATTAGCTATCTACAAAAATCAAATCCAATGAGAAAATATTGTTTTCCGATATTACAATCACAATCCACGGACATGACTAAAAATGACTGACACGTCCCGCGCGGCATCAGAAATATGGGAGGAAATCTGGCACCACGATTTGTGGTGCCAGTTGTGGCCATGGATAGAGCCCTCTTTGCCGCCTCCGGCGGTCGCGCGCTACTGCAAGCGAGAGGGCTCTGGTTAGAGCAAGGGTCAGACCATTAACAATGGTCAAGTATACACATGGCTATTTGTAGCGCGATGCACTACTGGGTCGCGCGCGCATCAAATAATGCTTCTCGCAACCACCTTCTTCGGTAGATCGGCGAGATGCACCACTGTGCCTCACCGAGCTGCGAAGGATTGACATCGTGAATCAACATGGCTATATGAAGCTCCCCCTGTATCTAATCGTAGAAACTTTATAGTGAAGCGACGGTGGGGGTCACTACGTGATACAAAAATGGTCATGGGTTTTAGATTGTAAATCAAACCAAAATTATAGGTATGCTGTGCATATTTTTACCAATTTACAGTGTAGTATGAAAATCGAGCGCTGAGGCGAATACTGTTGCATTATCACACTAATACTTTATTAATTATATTGATAAATTTCGCATTGGAACACCTTTTGTCTCAATTCAATTATAATTGATGTTCAATTCGATCCCAGCTCAGTATACAGGAAACCTTACTGGCTGGGAGTATTACTACACTAACAGGTGATTGCGTTTTCACAGCTTGTTCAAGCTCTCTCTCGCGCGCGCGCTCGTTAGTTTATTATATTGCACGCTTCAAACATTTCAATGCAACTGCACCACATGAAACAATTCAACCAATTAGAGGACAAGAATCCACAAAGTTAAAGCTGCGCACTATTGATTGACGATGTCAATCCTTCGCATCTCGCCGATCTGCTTAAGTGTGGTTGCGAGAAGCATTATTTGATGCGCGCGCGACCCAGTAGTGCATCGCGCTACAACGCACTAATGTTAAGCAAAAATTAAAACTTTTTGAGATAACTCATGAAAATCTCAAGCGTGCTAAATCACTTTACAGTCGATTTTTGAAATTGTTCTAAAAGGGTCCCCGACAGTTGAAACCAAATTCAATCGATGTCTTTTCGAACGCTGATTCCGAATGACAAAGGGTTAAAATACTCCCCTGACGAGATATTGGCGAAAAACTGTCTTGATCACGTGATATGACCGTATAAGGAAGTTAATCTAATTTCTCGCTGGGGTTAGGGTTTCAGTATATGCTTTTGTTAAGGATTGGGTTAGGGTTAGGGTTGGGATCAGATTAAAGGGTTAAGGTTTCGAATAGTCGTTCAGGACCAGCTAGAGAACGAGTTAAAAAAGTCACGTGATAGTCGAGTGTAGAGTGATTAATCATCATCCCCAAAATCTACAATGTCCCTAATTTTCTTACTGGGGAGGTAACTTTATTTTTCAAAGCAAACATTTTGCAAAAAACCGGAAGTGTCTACCTCTTTAACTTTCAAAGTTAAACCCTAGCCATTAATGTTTCCTGGGATTATTAACTATGTTTTCATGTATCCTCATTAATCAATGAAACAAGAAATTTCCCGTAAACTTGAACTCCATGTGTGACATACGTTTTATTTTCACCATGCTTCATCGTGATCATTGGTTGATTAAATTGGTTTGCATGATTTCTCTATAATTGCAATGTATTATTCGACGGAATTAGAAAAACAAAATGATCGAAAGGGATTGTCTTTGCTGAATTTGCACCATTTTAGATTATTCAATATAATCACTTAGTTTTTCTTTCAATCCTGAAATTTGATCAGTAATCCCGATTTCACTCGTAGAGGTTCAGCTTTGGCTGATACTTCATGGTAATCTAGGATTCTGGACAGAATTCAGCAGTAAAGAAGCCATAATAACAGTAGTCTTGTAGAAAAGGGAATTTTTCGAAAATATTAGGGGAAGGGTAAAGGGTATAGTGAATCTCTAATGCTATTATAATCCTATTATATAACGTAGTGATTGTGATTTTTTGTAAACTGTTCTGACCAAACCATGTTCTAGTAATCGGTTTGCTAATTTATTTAAGAACTACTAATTTTAATTTACAGCATTATGTATCGCTGAATATGATATCTAGATGAAAGAAAGGAACCTTATTCTTGCTATTGATGTTGGGACAACAAACTGCAAGGCAGCTGTGATCAACAAGTCTGGTCAGATTCTTAAACTTGCAGTTAAACCAGTTTCTCTTATCTCACCGTGGAAAGGCTGGTTCGAAATATGTCCCAACAAACTATGGTCTGACATTTGTTGCTTAATTCGTACTGTTTCCGCAAACTTCAAGGATCAGATTCTCACATTTGGAATATCTGTCCAAAGAAATACTTTTATCACTTGGAATAAAGTTACTGGGGAATATTTGCACAATTTTATCACTTGGATGGACAAACGGTCCAGTAAAATGTGCTCTGAATGGAATGATGGTTACCTAAAAAATATGGCACAGTGGGTAACTTGGATTTTGGGATCTCTTTGTGGCTCTCATCGTATGTTGTGTGCATCAACATTTAGTGTGAAAGATAATGCTATTCCAATGCGTCTTAAATGGGTGATAACGAATAACAAGAAAGCTGCACAACTTTTGAAAAGTAAAGAACTCTGCTTTGGCACAATTGAAACATGGCTTATATGGAAACTGACAAGAGGTAGAACATGGGCTACAGAATTCAGTTGTGCTAGTTCTACTGGCATCTTTGATATTTGGAGTCAGTCATGGAGTTCACTTATGACATATCTGTTTGGAATCCCAGTTGAGATGTTACCAGATGTAAAACCCTCCAACGCAAACTTTGGAAAAGTCGACAAAAGCCTGGGCTTTGGTTTCTCAGTTCCTATAACTGGCGTTCTGGGTGATCAGCAAGCTTCAATATTTGGAAATTTGCTCTATGATGTTGGCAATGTAAAACTAACATTAGGAACAATTATATCTTGTAACATAAATACAGGGCGTGAAACACACCCTACTTCTAACACTATATATCCTTTGATTGGCTGGAAATTGAAGGGAGAGGAGCCATTCTTTATAGCTGAATTTTTTGCTGGTAATGGTGGAAAAGCACTTGATTGGACAGTGACTTCTGGACTAGTAAAGAGCATCAGCGAAATTGATTCAGTGGCCAGGCAAGTTCCAAACTCAGATGGTGTGATATTCGTTCCTGCTTTCAATGGAGTAGAGGTCCCACTAAAAGATGCCTTTGCTGAAACCTCCCTTTGTGGAATTACATTTAACACAAAAACAAGTCACATTGTGCGAGCAGTTCTTGAATCTCAAGTATTCTTAAGTTGTCATGTATTAAAATTCATATTCCAGTATTACAGTAAGCCACCAGAAATTGTAGTAGATGGTGGCATAAGTCGTTCTTCCTTTATTTTAGAGTCTCTAGTGCAGTTATCGTCAGTAAATGTTCAGAAATCTGAATGTGTGGACGGAAGTCTAATAGGAGCAGCTCTTCTTGCAGGGTTAGGAGCAGGCCTTTATCAATCTTTGACCGATATTAAGTCTTCTGTTATGCTTGATTTTAAACTAATCACTCAGGATTCAAAATTTGCAGATGATCAAATGAGAGATAACCATGAAAAATGGCATATTTCAGTTGACAAATGTGTTCACTGGTCTAACAGATTAGCATAGGTATACGGTTATTATTAGGTTTATATTAGACATAGTGTTAAAAATAATAAGATTTTTAATTGGATTAAGTAACTTAAAGGATTATGTAAATTTCATTATTTAAGTATTAAAACATTGCAGTGTATATTCAAATGAATTAACCAGAATATCCTATTTTGTACCTTATCAGTAATCAATTATCACCAATTTTTTCATTTATATTATGATGTAAACATGTATTAAGCTTAGTTATTCTTTCTTATTTAAATAATATGTATTAAATAAATACATATTGTATGTATTCAGAGTTCAGAGCTGTTTTAAATCCAGCTATTCGTTATTAGTTGATATTAAAAGTTCATCTTATCAATTATCATAATATTACACTTCAATATAAAAATATATAATAGACTTGCAAATTTGTGGGCGGGGTGAACCATTTTTTCACCTAAGAACTTTTGTAGCTCTTCAATTTAACATGGTTAAATGAACAGTATTTTGTTTTTCACTGAAGATTGAGTCTAACACTAACAGTTTGTGATCAATCACCCAGAAACTTCTAGGGATAGTTTTGAAGATTTTCCAGACAGGATTTTGAGAAAGGCCTTTTTGGAAACCTTGGACCAAATTATTATAATATGATAACTTTTTTAGAAAAAATGTTTACTAGAAAATATATTCGAATGTTTAATTATAGCTGTTAGTTGTCAATATTTTGTTAGCTCTTTATATAGCCGGAAAGTTTTATGTGTATTTAGTTTTGTTGTTTTATTGTATTTGAGCTTTAAATCCTAGTGAAAGCTATTGGTTCGATCATGCTGCACCAAATGAGTAGCATCTTTATCAATTGTTTCATGTTTTTGATGTTAGCACGATAATATTTAGTACTGGTATAACTTTGGCCTCTCTTGTTAACATTTTTAAATTTTTACTTTTGGTAATGGGTTTGTAAATATACATAATATGCTGTGTAACAAATTAGTTTTTCACTGTCTCCAGAAGTTTCGATAATTCCGCCCTAATTCTTGCCATTCATCTTGCATAACCCCTCTGCTCATCTATCTGTAAAATCAAAAACATTATCAACATCCAATTTGTAATCCCATGAGAAAACATGATTGATAGTGATCATGCACCATTTCCAGATATACTAAAATGAATGTAGTCCTAAACATTTTTAAATTCAAAATTCTATAAAAGTTGTATGCTGGTCAGGCAGGGAATGGCTCAACTTCATAGGGTGAAAGATTGATGATTGGAGAATGGCTGAAAGGGATATAATCTTATCACTAGACATTGGTACATCAAACATAAAACTTGCTGCTGTTGATAAAAGAGGGGAAATCGTCCGCCTCCACAAGCGAGCATTAAGACTCAAATGTCCTCAACCTGGTTACCAGGAGATCTGCCCCACTGAGCTGTGGGATGATATTGAAAGTTTGTTTAAGTCGACATGTGAAGGAATAGAATCTCGCATTGCTGCATTAGGTATTTCAACTCACAGGTCTACATTCATCACATGGGAGCGTGACACTGATAACTATCTGCACAATTTCATCACATGGGCTGACCAAAGAGCACAGAAGATGTGTGACAACTGGAATAATGCTTATATCGTCAGAATCGGACAATCTATTCTTCAAGCTGTTGGAACAGTTGTGGGATCAACTCATATGATCTGCATCGCTAATTTCAAAGTGCAATCAGCTAATGCAATGATGAGATTAAAGTGGGTTATGGAAAACATTGCAGCTGCTAAACCGCTTCATGACAAAGGAAATCTATGTTTTGGGACCCTTGACACTTGGATTATATATAAACTTACTGGCAAAGCTACTTGGGCCACTGACTATACAAATGCTGCTGCTACCGGTCTTTACGATATGTGGGGTGATAGGTGGTGCCCCGCCATGAGTTGGGTGTTCAGCCTCCCTTTTGGTGCTCTCCCGGAAGTAAGGAATAGTAATGCTTCATTTGGTCAGATCAGCTCAGAATTAAATCTGGGATTTTCTGCTCCCATCCATGGAATTCTGGCTGACCAACAAGCGTCTGTGTTTGGTAATCATCTATTTGAAGAAGGAGACGTGAAGCTGTCTCTGGGAACCAGTATTGCTTGTGATAGATTGACAGGATCGTATGTTCATCCAGTGGCTATGTCTGTGTATCCTCAAATAGCGTGGAGACTGGCAGGATCAGAAATTGTCTATATGGCTGAGAGTATGACTATGGAATTACGTGGCAAATACTTGGATTGGTTGGTGTCGGCAAAACTTGTTGACTCGATTAAAGAAATAAATAACATAGCCTTATCTGTGAAATCTAGTGAAACTCCTTTATTCATAAAAAAGGATGGAGTTAATGAGAAGCCCATCGAGGAATTCATGGTGGAAAAGAGTAATTGTACCAATGCTCACTTCGTCCGGGCAGTCATGGAAGCCCATGTTTTCCGAGCTAAAATACTTCTTGATGATGTGTTTGATTTCTATGGTCGGACTGATAAGATCATTGTGGATGGGGGTGCCAGCTCATCCCAGTTTATTTTGGAAAGCTTGTGCGCTGTAACCGGAATTGACGTGTACAGATCAAACTGTGTTGAAGGTGCTTTGATGGGAGCGTTTTATGTAACAGGCTTGGGTTTGGGCTGGTGGAATACCTTGGAGGATATCAAGCTATTCACAGAACTCACCCAGATATCTCCCTTAAAAGAAGAGGATGGATGTACGTTATTGGAGAAGTTTAAAAAGTGGAAAACTCTGACTAATTACTAGATTTAAATTTTTATGTATTAATTTCTAATATAGATAAAATAGTGCCAAAGGATACCTCTGACATAATTTCTCGATCAAACTATCTTCCTTGCATATTTACTTAGTAGTAACTTTCATTTAATAGTACTGAGATAATTTTTACATTATTATGTCATGATAACATTATGCATGATATTTTAAACCATATTATATGTAATTGTAATTATATAAATGACTAATGATTCTGATATAGATGATTAATTCATTTGGTTGGCCAGTACGTATCATCTAGTACGTTTTCATGAAAACGTACTACATGATTTATGATTTTTAATGATTTTATCACTGTATATGTTCATGTCGTTCAATTATTAAATTTAGATTTTTAGATTTACTTGTATTTTTTGTAGATTTTATTAGATATGTTATGTAGCGAGATTTTTGTGGTTAATGATTTTGTACTGTATGATTTTATGATATAGGGTTCGTTTTTTACCAGATAACGTGATATTAGATTTTTACGGTTTTAGATTTTGTACTGCAGATATATAATGATAAATGATAATGTCCTTGTTGTTACTCACATTCTAACTTAGTTACACAATCTGCATTGTTTTACTCCTACTGAAACTTTTATTTTACTCTAGTAGCTGGTTGTCGTTGAGTGTACACTTCAATGTTCACAATTTTTGACAGCATATATTACGTCGGTCTAACCTAATGGCCGAGATACAAAAATCTCAAATTTGCACCTGAGAGCAATTTAGAAATTTCGCCCTGTAGGATTGGGACAACTCATACGAATTGGTATGATATTCATGATATTGGTTTGAAATGGCCTAATGAAAGACCTTGTGTGGTAAATAATTGTGGACATTGAAGTGTACACTCAACTACTAGAGTAATGGCTTTACAGCAGTCTCCCTAATGTCAACAGCTCAAATGACAAATCTCATATTGCATTAATCATAACATCACTGTGTCTACCAATACAATAAATTGTAAAATTTTACCTCCCCATTTGACGCTATCATCATGATAGATAGCGTAATAAACGAACTCCTTTTAGTTAAAAAATGAAGCGACGCGGTTTTCATGGCTCGGCAAGAAGCACTCACAAGAAGGTTCTTCTTATGGGTCGAAGCGAAGCAGGCAAGTAACTTAGTAACCATAGTAACCATAGTAACAAGCAAGTAACTTCCTAGCCTGTCTAGCAAATTTAATCATAATACTTAACATTCTCCCGCAGAATTACAAGAAATTCTAGTAAAATGCAGTAAAATAATAATACGTAGCATTTCAATTTTCATTACAAAGGGTACAAAGCTATGATATAGGTATATCACGTTTCTAGTAACAGAAATTCAAGCCGCTTGAATTGTTCCATTATGACCGTAAGTCAAATCATTAAAAAACGTTTTTTCTTAATGCTTTATTAATTTTGCTTCTATCGTTTAAATTCATTGCAATGATGAGATGTTTAGTTAAGATGATAATTTCAAATTGAAAGAAGCAAAATTTAATGAGAGATCATCTTTAAAACCAGTGATTCGTAAAAGTTCAAATAAAAATTGAAATAGCATGAAAAAGGGTACAAACGGAAGGAAAGTATCCGGTAACTATGCCAGTCACGGAAGAGCTAGGCCGGACAAAAAGAAGGTCCTATTAATGGGTCGCAGTGAAGCAGGTATATGGCATGACCTGAACCTTCTTCTATAATATCTTGATTTTCGTGGGCAGATCAATTTCTCGCCCAATTATTCTAGTCTTACAGTTTCTCTGGGTTGATGTTTAAAACAATCTGTTTGATCTATGCTATACTAGCTGGTGTCTTGCATAGGATGTCTTGGGTTTGGAAGCATGAGTCTTCCTTATCGAAATCTAAATTGATTTTACCTCATGATTGCAACTTTTACTAGAGATTATATCTCTCTGTAAACTTGATAACTATACCTAAATAGTAATGATTAAGAGGTTTAGTTTCTGCAGTACAAGCATCGAATTTTTAACATTTTTTGGATAGCATAGTAATACATTTTAATTATGATGATTTTATTTATTTATCACAGAATCATATCGGGAGTTTTAATTTAGCAAATAGAGCTAAAACTGTTTTTATAAAATCTTAATTTAATAACAATAACTCTTTGCTACATAATGTACAACACATGATATGATTTTATTTTGAATATTTAAACGATTATGTCACACGATGATTGATGATATACAGTATCATGTATATCGTGTTAATTGGAAGTTTCAATAATATCAACTAATTAATGTGTTTAAAACCTCTCCGTTTATAATTTATATGCTACAAGCAAGACAAAGTTCAGAATACACGCTTGATAGCTATACTATTATTTTCAAAGTTTCTTTGGGACGCTACAAAAAAACAACTCTGCTGCTTAAAAAAATACCTGTGTAAACCGTGCATTGAATACTTACGCTTATATTATGTGCATATGCGCATGTTATGTGCGGGAAGTTCAACTACTAGAACTAAAACTGCTGAGTTGCCAGCAGGGCTTGTACTAAAGTCCGTACTCTACACTGCACTCTACCAATACGCTGAGTTGCGAGCAGGGCTTGTACTTAAGTCCGTACTCTGCACTGCACTCTACCAATACGCTGAGTTACGAGCAGGGCTTGTACTAAAGTCCGTGCTCTACACTGCACTCTACCAATACGCTGAGTTGCCAGCAGGGCTTGTACTAAAGTCCGTACTCTACACTGCACTCTACCAATACGCTGAGTTACGAGCAGGGCTTGTACTAAAGTCCGTGCTCTACACTGCACTCTACCAATACGCTGAGTTGCCAGCAGGGCTTGTACTAAAGTCCGTACTCTACACTGCACTCTACCAATACGCTGAGTTTATAAGCCTCGCAATGTCAGCTCTAGCTTCTTAATTAAGGGCTCATTTATACTCCAATATATTATACATGATACTTCTTTAATAAAGTCCACCCCTTATGCCTTTAATTGGCAGATATCCAACTAGTTACACACTTATGTGCTGACTTTAGTTGGCAGATATCCAACTAGTTGCACACTAATGTGCTGACTTTAGTTGGCAGATATCCAACTAGTTACACACTAATGTGCTGACTTTAGTTGGCAGATATCCAACTAGTTACACACTTATGTGCTGACTTTAGTTGGCAGATATCCAACTAGTTGCACACTAATGTGCTGACTTTAGTTGGCAGATATCCAACTAGTTGCACACTAATGTGCTGACTTAAGTTGGCAGATATCCAACTAGTTACACACTAATGTGCTGACTTTAATTGGCAGATATCCAACTAGTTACACACTGATGTACTGACTTGCTGTATCTCAGGTAAGACGAGTATGAGGAGTATTATCTTCGCTAATTACATTGCCAGGGATACCAGGAGGTTGGGAGCTACTATGGACGTGGAGCAGTCTAACGTCAGGTAACATTCACTCTCATCTAGTGGTAAAAGTAATTTAACATTCGCTGTCATCTAGTGGTAATACAGTAATGTAACATTCGCTGTCATCTAGTGGTAAAAGTAATGAGTAATGTAACATTCGCTGTCATCTAGTGATAATACAGTTAGACCCCAATTTACCGCGCCCCGATTTACAGCAAACCCCGATTTACCAAAAAACCCCGATTTACCGCGACCATTTCCTTTCCCCCAAATAGGGCTTAACATGCATAATGTTAGCAAGCAAAACCCCGATTTACCGCGAACCCCGATTTACTGCAGATTTTTCCTTTCCCCCAAACTCCGCTGTAAATCGAGGTTTTGCTGTAGTAATGTAACATTCATTACCATCTTTAAATGGTAATGGTAATGTCATGATGAAAGTTCCCTCTAGACCATTTCATCGTGTGTTGTTTCATGTTTCATCTATAATAACGGAAACTATTTCAGGTTCCTGAATAATCTGGTTCTTAACCTCTGGGATTGTGGTGGACAGGATGCTTTTATGGAGACCTTCTTCACCTCCCAAAAAGATGTCTTGTTCTCTAATGTTGAAGTAATTACATAACTATTTATTGTTTTTAGTAAGGTTTCAATCAATTTGTTTTTTATGTTAGATTCCAATAGATTCGAGCTGTTAAAAACGTATGATATTGTGTCCAGCCTTTAAGAACCAACATCTGATTTTTAAAACAGGTACTGATATTCGTGTTTGACGTCCAAAGTAGCGACGTACAGAAAGATATTGAGAAATACCAATCTTGTATAGAAACTGGAATTATGAAGTACAGCCCAGATGCCATGGTAGGTTTCAAATAATCGATGCAGTATTTACACTCAATTTGTTATTTCATTAAATGGAAACTTAAATTTTTCCACTTTTAAATCTGATATCCCCAACCTGATATTGAACATGGTAGGTGTCGTTTGAGTATACATTTGTATTAAAATTGGTAATCGGTATTTCGTGATATCATATCAGTACAGTATCACTGATTACAATTACCGATGATAAGACGAATTCATTTCCCCTTTTTCAGATATTCTGTTTGGTCCACAAGATGGACTTGATCCCAAAGGCTCAGCGTGAGATGCTGTTTTCTAAAAGGAAAGAAGAGCTCGAGCATCTGTCAAAACCTCTAAAAGTATGTATTTGTTTCGTTCGAGCATCTGTCAAAACGCTTAAAGTATGTATTTGTTTCGTGTGTTCTGCTGTTATCTTAGAAACCAATCACTCCAGTTAAACAAATTAACTAAAAGAGGGGACCTGACCCCAACCCATGTAGCTGAGACACCTCAAAGCAAGTAGACCAAAGTGGCTCTTGCTTGTGAAAGGTGCATCAACTACCCGCCGAAGCGGTGGGTTCCAGAAACAAATTGAGAATCAAGATTTTTCGAACAATCTTCGTATTTAAAATTCGTTCTTGAAATATTATTATTGAACTCAATAACTGACACTTATTGAATATTGATCGGGAGATAAGATAAGATAACGTCCATCATTTAATTATACTTTTAATTAATTTTTAATTATACTTTTAATTGTACTACATTGTGTGTCTCTATTATGTTTTTATCAGTAACTCGTTCATCTTGACATGGGCACCGCATTGTGTAAATTATTTAGTTTAAATATCTTATACAATATCTATGCTGCATCGAAGCGGGGTAGTAGATACAGTGTTTCGTATCTAGATACATGGTATTTGTCAGATATCTAGATACATGCTATTTGTCAGATATCGTGTTACGCGACGTCTATTTGGGACGAGACGCTCTACAACGCCTGGAGTAAGATAATGTCCCTTCTCATTCCAAATGTTGGACAGCTCAAACTCAAACTCAAGAAGTTTGCTGACCATATAAATGCTGACGAGGTGAGCGCTTTAGAGGAATTTGTGAAACATTCCATAGTACCCTATTTCATGAATCATGACCAGTGAAACTGTTTCAACTTCTAGCGTTTTATGCGGACAAAATTGTACCTTAAACCTATGAACATTGCCAGCAATGTTTTATTGTAGAAACCTCTAACCAGCTGATATACATATAATATATATATATATAATATATATAATATACCTACCAGGTACTGCTATTCGAGAAAGCTACATTCCTGGTAGTGGCACACCACATGAGGAAGGAACACAACGACGCAAATAGATTTGAGAAAATCAGCAACATAATCAAACAATTCAAACTCAGTTGCAATAAGATGCAGAGCTTCTTCAGATCCATCGAGGTTAGTCTTATAAAATACTTTAACAGTGTATTTAACCGCTTCTTATTTAGTTGTTAATTGAGGTTAGTTTAGTGGATTTGATATTGCTCAATGAAAATTTAGATAGTCATTAGTCATCTACAAATCCTATGATTTATTTATATCAGTTACAAAATTAACTTCACTGTGATTGAATTAAAGTACGATATTATCAATTGCAGGTCAGAAACAGTAGCTTTGCGGCGTACATAGAGCTTTTCACTGCAAATATGTATATAATGGTTGTCATGAGCGACCCTCAGGTAAATAATGTATTTTATAATTAATATTCGAAATATTGAAAACAGGAATTCCCAGTCTTATGAATATGAGGATTAAAATTTAGTCTAAAAGAGATAAGTGGATGAGTTGTGTTATTTAATTAATGTTAATTAATGCTAATTAATGTTAAATAATGTTAATTAATGCAGCCCTAGAGGTAATATTATTTGGATATTTTACAGGTGTGCTCTGCGGCGGTACAGCTTAACATAAACAACGCTAAGCGCTACTTCAAAGACACCGATCAGTCGGGGACTCAGTGATCACGTGACCCAAATATAGCACGGGATCAGGAGATCACATGACAAGGAGATCACATGACAAGAGTTCAGGTCCTCCTCCAATAGCCATCCGAACACCAGTTTTGTATTGAACTCAGTGAGTGAAACGATTCGAGTCAGGGGAGGGGAAGCTATTTGCACGTAGATATCAGATCTATTGTGTACCGCCTGGGGCCTTTTGGTTTTTCATTCGAACTTTCGAAGATTTGGAAAGTTAATCCATGAAAGCTCATGTTAGGGATCGTTGCAGTCGAAAGTGTGGGACATGAGTTCTTCAACAAAAAAGGAAAAAAATGTCACTATACTATTAAAAAAAAGTTTTTAATTTATCAAGGAGACTGTTGCTGTTATGAAATGATCCCTAATCTGTATGAAATTTTAAACTTTTCCGTTATGTCAGCAAATTCAAAATATGAAAACAGATTCAAATTGTTAAGCATTTAATTAATATCCGATATTTGTCAAAAATCAATCCGATTAAATTGTAATTTTCAAGTTCTACCAGCAAGGTTTTTATTTTTCCGGACTTTATCAACGTGTTTGAATCTTAAAATCAGAATTCAATGGCAAAATTAAATTGTAGATACAAAATAAGATCAGTTTTCACTTTGCTTAGAAGTGTAGAAAGTAACTTCAAACTTTTCTTTTACACTTTAGTTATTGATATGTTGCCATTGGGTCCTGATTTAGTAATTGTTTAAGTTGATCAGGCTAAATGCAGTGAAATAGTTGTTGTTTTATCTAAGTTTTTTGATAATGATTTGTATAAGTTGATTTTTACGGTTTTTATAATTTATTTCGTCTGCACTCGTTTTCTTCAAAAGTCCTCTATTGACAAAACCTTATATCACATTTTATTAGTGCACTCGAGCTTTGAACCTCACGGCTCATAATTCATATCCTAAAATAATTTACAAAAGTAACTCCACATATGTTTAGAATTACAAATCACGGTTGATCTGACGATAATAACACAAAATTTACCAAATCCTCTGTTTCCTAATAACCCTAATTCCCAATCTCTCTAATTAGCGGACAATGCCACTACGGTTTGACATAAAGAGAAAGCTCTCTGCTCGATCTGACCGAGTAAAAGCTCTAGATGTCCATGACTCTGAACCTTGGCTTCTAGTCGCGCTCTACAGGTAACCGGACACGTCCAGTTTAACCGGACACGTCCAGTTTAACCGGACACGTCCAGTTTAACCGGACACGTCCAGTTTAAGAGTTTAGCTGTTCGGTGGATTGTGTTTAAATTTGAAGATTATAAACCGTTTAATGAAAAAAATCAAGTACCTTAAACATGCTTATCTTGTTTTTCTCCGTAATTGGAACATGATATTCTAACGCACTTTAACTTCTAATCCAGCTGGTAGACACCCTTTATCATACTAAAAGTAACCAAAAGTAAATAAAAATGTTACTAAAGTAACACCATTTCAGTGGGCACCTGAATATCTGGAACTATGAAACACAGAACATTGTTAAAACAATTGAAGCTACCTCTAACGATCTGCCTATAAGAACTGCCAGATTCATCGAGAGGAAAAGTTGGGTTGTTTGCGGTGAGTTCAACATTAGATGTTCAACATTAGATATTCAACATTAGATATTCAACATTGGATGTTATGATGCCTATTTAATATGTGCTAATTTATTAAATTAGCTGCTCAATTAGCGGGGAAATATTCGATTAAATTTACTCAACTCCCGATTTTGTATTTTGTATACGATTACTTATTGCCTTAAAATATCAGGGTCGGATGATATGGTTATTCGTGTGTACAACTACAACACAATGGACAAAGTGCACTCTTTTGAGGCTCATGCTGATTATATAAGGTAATTTGAATCAGGTATTATACAAGGCAGATAAATACAAACATTTAAAAGTTTGGATCATGGCTCCTATCTTGTTTTAATTAACAATACAACTGTCTCCTTACTACATATGTACCACATAATACGTTTACGTTACAACTACTGTAGTACAATTATACAATATTACAATTACATACCAAATCGTGTAAAATAATGATAATTATTTGTAGATCGTGTATTATATTATGTACATTGTATACTGTAAATTGTATACTATCATCATACTGGTATTAAATCACACTGCCACTGTTTTGATGTGCAAATAAATGCAAACGTGTGTGTAATATAGTGTTTATTCTATCGAACAAACAACAAGTCTATATACAATTAACTATACATTCCATTCCAGATGTATATCAGTGCACCCGACCCAATCATTCATCTTGACATCGTCTGATGACATGATGATAAAGTTATGGGATTGGAACAAGAACTGGGCCTGTACCCAGACCTTTGAGGGGCACACACATTACGTCATGCAGGTTGTGTTCAACCCAAAAGACACCAACACTTTCGCTAGTGCTAGTTTGGACAAAACAATCCGGGTAAATCATCCAAGATATTGTTTAGTCTATATTTTCCTTTCCCTAAGTTTTAAAATTTAAAGAACTGAAGAATGTTTTGAGACTGTAATCAAAATTTGTTTGTAAATTATTATCTACAGTGAACGACTCTAAATAGCCCGGCTTCAGGTATGGCAGATGGGTTCCACCCAACCTAACTTCACCCTGGTGGGTCACGAGAAAGGGGTCAACTGTTTGGACTACTACCGAGGCGCTGATAAACCTTACCTCATATCGGGAGCTGACGACTTTGTGGCTAAGATCTGGGACTACCAGAACAAATCGTGTGTACAGACCCTGGTCGGACACACTCAGAATGTTACCAGCGTCTGCTTCCACGCTGATATGCCTATTATTATAACCGGTACGTGTTATAATAATAATGTTATCCTGCTGTAACTAAGAATAACTCTTGTATTTAAGAGGGTTAATAGTCTGAGTATGGATGTATTTATCTAACTACACCATATTAATGTTTGTGAGTATCTTCTCTTTGTATCCCGGAAGTGGAGTTTTTGGGATTGGTATTTTGGCTGGCGCTTGCGAAGTAAAAAAGATTAAAGATCTGATATTGGTATCCTGGTGGCGTGATATCGTGACTTCTGGAGTCTCAGTGTTTACATGCGTCATAATTGTATACATAAGCATGCGAACTGGGGTTTAATTTCAATGTTTGAGAGTAGATATCACCAGCTTATCTTTCAAATTCCACGTGTAATTCAAGCCGTGGCCGGTTAACCGCATCTTTTTACTAGCAAACATTGTCCAAAATTGTGACTCGACGCGCAATCACTCAGCACTAATAGTGTGATGACAGGAGCACGTACCGTTTTGTTTACTATAGCGTAGAATTTTGTAATTAACAGAAAACAACCGGAAATTGTCATTTTGACGCACAGAAAGCTTACTCTTTTGGGTTTATCTGAATGATAATTATAAGCGTCACCAATACGCTTTTAATTGCATGAGGATATGGCACCGGTCACGCGATTATAATTATCCAAACTTAAGCAGTGAGCAACTTTCAGCAGATCTGCTACTTCTACTGAGTTTTGTCTGTGAGAGCATGACTAGAGGATGGGTTGGTGGAGAAGGCGAAAGACAAAGTCATTTTCAAGAGTTTAGATGTAGTAAAATGATACGTGGCTCAGTTGCATCTTGCTCACTTCGTGTATTCCTAGGTTCGGAAGACGGCACGATAAGATTGTGGCACGTAAACACCTACCGACTGGAATTCACCCTGAACTACGGTTTTGAGCGAGTTTGGTGTGTGGCTCAACTTCCGGGTTCCAACACACTCAGTATTGGGTATGACGAGGGAGCTATCATGATAAAACTGGGACGGGAGCAGCCGGCCATCACCATGGATAACCAGGGCAAGATCATCTGGGCTAAACATTCTGAGATTCAGCAGGTACCCGGGCTGTTATGTGATATCTGTTGATCTGATTATTGTTGTGAACACGGACCTACTTCATTTATGTATATTGTGTAAATTTGAATGGTTAGGTTAAACCTAAATTCCTGCACCTAGATCTGTAGACGGCTATTCCACGGATTCAAATAACACTCCTGAATTGCAGGCAAATGTGAAAGCACTGGGTGACTCACCACACAAGGATGGTGAAATCCTGCCTCTGGCGGTTAAAGATCTTGGAAGTTGCGAGATATTCCCACAAACCCTTGTTCACAATCCTAACGGCAGGTCAGTTCATAGATATGCAATGTCAGCGAAACTTTTGTTTGATTATCTTATATAAATATATATGGTGATGCAAATATGACATATCTTCACAACAAAAGTTCGAGTAAAGAAAGTTGATCCTCACTTCAGATTTGTAGTTGTATGTGGTGACGGAGAGTATATCATCTACACAGCCCTGGCCTGGAGAAACAAGAGTTTCGGTACAGCTGAAGAATTTGTCTGGTCTGCTGACTCGTCCATGTACGCTATCAGGGAGGGAAATAGCAGAGTCAAAATATTTAAAAACTTCAAAGAAGTTCAGGTTAGTTTGGGTTCATTTTTCGTTAAAAACAATGAAGTATATTTCAAATTCAATGTAAAAAGCAAATCCATATTGATAATTTATAAATCATTTTTTAATTGTTTTATCCGAATCAGGATTTCAAGCCCGATTACGGAGTTGACGGAATATACGGAGGACAGCTGCTTGGAGTAAAGTCAGGCAGTGGACTTACATTCTACAACTGGGAAACCACTGCTCTTGTTAGGCGGATAGAGGTCGCTCCTCAACAGGTCGGTTGAAGGGCTTCTTATTTGAACATATCTCAGCTATCTCTAACAAATATTATATTATTCGTTTGGAGAGTTTCCACTTTCCAATTATGATCATGAATTGGTTTCCTAGTACGTTAGTCGTTATCACAGTCACTGATACGTTTCCCATAGTTTACACGCAAGATTTCAGCACCCTATTTTACACACGATAGTAACGTCACCTAAAAATATTCCAGGTATACTGGTCAGACAACGGTGAATTGGTGTGTATAGCCACAGAAGACGAGGCCTTCATGTTGCGGTACAACCCTGATGTAATCGAGGGAACTCCCCCGGACGAGGATGGGTTCGAGGCAGCATTTGATGTGGTTGGGGAGGTGGCTGATAAAGTCATGACCGGTTAGTTATCAGTTCATTACAGCTTGCTCATGTTTGGGGAGAAGTGAGGGTCAACATCTTTTGAGTGAAATATGCGAAATATGTGATAATGATAGTCGCATCGCCTAGGTAGTGGCTACTGTTCGAATAACTTTCCATTGGAAAAATAATCAAGAAAGCGAATTGATCTTCTCCAGGACATAAATGAGTTTTGATTAAAATTCGAATACGTTTCAGATGTTTTATTTATACTATTTCTAACTTGGAACCCATTGTAGGAGTGTGGGTTGGAGATTGTTTCATCTACACAAACAGTGAGAACAGGCTAAACTACCATGTCGGAGGAGAGATTGTCACTATCTCCCACTTGGATAGGACACAGTACATTCTGGGTTACATTGCCAAGGACAGTAAACTGTATCTGGGAGATAAGGATCTCAACGTTACCAGCTTCGCTCTAAAAACAGCAGGTTCGTTCCCAAATATCACTCTTTGATTATCATGATATCTTCTTTAAGTTGTGATCTTGGAAGTTGTTTCGACTTCACTTTAATTTTACGTGTCACGGCACATTTACGGATACTGATAAAGTAACGGCTACGTTGTCTCCCTCAGTTTTGGAGTACCAGACAGCAGTTATGAGACAAGATTTCGAGACCGCTGACCAGATTCTGCCTAGTATTGACGAGGAACACCGCACCAGAGTTGCTCAATTCCTGGAGAAACAAGGCTTCAAGGAGCAGGCTATGGCTGGTAAGTAGCAGGGCTTCAAGGAGCAGGCTATGGCTGGTAAGTAGCAGGGCTTCAAGGAGCAGGCTATGGCTGGTAAGTAGCAGGGCTTCAAGGAGCAGGCTATGGCTGGTAAGTAGCAGCCGGTAGTTTGTTGTTATAATTATAATGTTATTGGTTGAAATAATCCACGTTACCCTTGAGAGCTTGAGTTTGGTGAATTCTGTGATTTGTAACCGATGAAATCCAATTATCTTTTTGTTCAGTGAGTGTGGACCCTGCACACAAGTTCGAACTAGCACTTCAACTGAACGACTTCGCCACGGCATACGGCTTAGCTGTGGAGCACAGCAGTGAACAAAGATGGAAACAGCTCTCAGATCTTGCTCTCAGATCATCCGACTTCAACCTTGCAAAGAAATGTAAGTTGAAGTTTTAGCAGAATCAAGAATATCTTGTTTTCTTAAGTTGTCAGAATGAAATGAAAACGCCTAAAATTTCAACGTCGACTTATTAACCGTCGACGTGTTCCATAACTGCACCTCTCATACAACTTCAGGTATGTTTAACGCCAAAGATTACAGTGGTCTGCTCCTGCTAGCCTCGAGTCTAGGAGACTCTGAGAGTATGGTCCAGTTGGCTGAGCTGGCCCACTCGGCTGGGAAAGAGAACATAGCTTTCACCGCCTACATGATGCTCAACAACATCCCCAAATGTTTGCAGCTTTTGGTTGAGACTGAGAGATATCCTGAGGCTGCCATCATGGCTAAAACCTATATGCCTAGCGAGGTCAGTCTTGGTAAACTTTTTCACTCTATTACATACACCAAAAGTTGAATTCGCGCGCCAGTTGCGTTGCAATATTGCTGACGAACAATTATGATAAGTAGCCATTTATCACGTTGAAACACTCAAACAGGTCTCGAAGATTCTGAAGTTGTGGCAGGCAGATCTTAGCAAAACAAACGAGAAGGCAGCAGAAGCTCTCGCTGACCCACTGCAATACGACAACCTATTTCCTGAACTACAGCTAGCACTCAAGGCTGAAAAGGTAAAATTTAGTTCAACCGGACATCTTTTCATGAGAGTTGGTTAATAATATTATTATCTAGAGAATGTGGCAAACGTGCCGAAAATTGTGATATTTTCACTGACCATTTGAACAATACAAATCTACGAATCTGACCACGTGTTCTCACAGCTGCTAGAAAAAGAGCGCAGTACCCTGCTACCAGCTGCTAGCTACCCAGCAGTAGCCCCCAACTGGGAGAGAGATGTGCTAGCAGAAACGGAAGAGATGCTAGCCAGCCTCCCGGAGGTAGTCGCCTCCCCCAAGGAGGATGAGATGTTGACTGCCGAGGTGAAGGAGGAACAGCCCGTCTCAGAACCCGAGGAGGAAGAGAAAGAGGATTTGTTTGAGGAGGTTCCGGAGGATTTGGGAGGAGTTGTGGGTGCTCCAGGTACAGACTAACAGAGGCTGGGGCTGTCTTTATATCATTTAGGAATTTGTAATTTAGGAATTTGTTCAATGTTCATTTAGGAATTCATCTTGGTTTACATTTTCATGAAATCGGAGTAGGACTGTTCCAGGTGCTGATTTACCCGAGGGTTGTCATTTAAGAATTTATCTTGGTGTAAATTTGCATGAAATCAGAGTAGCGAATGCTCCGGATACTGATTATTACCGAGGGCTGTCATTTAGCAATTCATCTTGATGGAAATTTGCATGAAATTAGTCGTTTTCATGACATTTTCACGAAGCTTTCATAAAGTTAAACATTACATTGACTACACGAAATTAGACACATAAAGAGATAAAGGTCACAGTCATTAAATAAGACGAATATGCACAAAATGCCACCAGTTCTGTAATGCTGAAACCTGTTGAGCTTGAGTTCGTGAACTCGCCTTATTTCAGAGCCCTTAATAGCGTTAGAACCGGAACCGTCCTCTCCCCCCTCCGAGCCACCCATGCCTCCAATTGAGCTTGAACCTGAGCCAGTTGTACAAGAGGTGCCGGCTGATCTCGCTGTGAAAGTTCCAGGTACCGACTTACTGAGGCCAGGGCGGGTTGTCATTTAAAAATTTGCCATCTAGAAATTTGTCATTTAGAAATATATCTTGGTGATTTGCATGAAATCGGAGTAGTGAAAACTTGAGATACTGATTTAAACCGAAGGTTGTGCTTTAGATATACATAGCTTGAATCTTGATGGAAATTTGCATGAAATTTATCGTTTTCATAGACTTTTCACGAAGTTTTCATAAAGTTGAACATGACATTGACAACACTCATAGACACAATATTTACATAGAGGTCATTGAATAAGACGAATATGCACAAAATGCCACCAGTTCTGTAATGCTGAGACCTGAGCTTGAGTTCAATATTCCTTGCAATCCCAAAACATATTTCTTGTTTAGAGTGACACATCTGACAAGCAACTAGAACTGATCTCAACTTTGGACAATTGTAAACTTTATTCGGTATCTCCGAGTTCACATGAACTCGCCCTATTTCAGAGCCCATAATAGCGTTAGAACCGGAACCGTCCTCTCTGCCCTCCGATCCTCCCATGCCTCCAGTTGAGCCTGAACCGGAGCCAGTTGTACAAGAGGTGCCGCTTAATCTCGTAGAATTGGCGCCAGAACCTTTCGCAGAATTTGTGCCAGAACCCATTGCGGAAATGGTGCCAGAACCCATTTCGGAAGTGGCATCAGAGCCGATCGTTGAAGTAGCGCCAGAACCCCTCATAGAATTGGCACCAGAACCTGTCATAGAATTGGCACCAGAACCCCTCATAGAATTGGCACCAGAACCTGTCATAGAATTGGCACCAGAACCTCTCATAGAATTGGCACCAGAACCTCTCTTAGAATTGGCACCAGAACCTCTCGTGGAATTAGCGCCAGAACCTTTTATAGAATTTACACCAGAACCTCTCCCAGAAATGGTACCAGAACCCCTCGTTGATGTAGCGCCAGAACCGCCCGCGGAGGAGGCGTTAGCACCCGCTCCTACAGAGACGCCAGCAGAGGCGGTGGAAGAGGCGTCAGAAAAGCGCGACTTGTTCGGGAACAGCAGTACCGATTTCCTGGACGACATGGATAGGGAAATATCGGAACTTAACCTGGACGATATTAATGTTGATGATATCGATCTTGATGACGAGAGCTTGTTTGATTAGCTGCGAACTTTGAGCACATTATGTGAGGTCAGGGAGACTTCTATTTGAGAAGTTACTCCTCGCTTGTCCATATTTTGAATAATAATATTAGTATAATTAATATGAGGTATGTCATGATATATAAGTAAAGGGTAATTTAAAGTTCTAAATTATATAATTACTAGCGCTTTAATTTTAATTTCGATTTAGTGTTATAGTTCGAATCTTAAATTTCGATACGAAGCTTCAAAGCTGTGCTCGTTTAGTTTTCTTTATGTAAATTTCTTAATGCCTAATATTTATAATTGAGTCCGCTTTATTCTATGTTGAACACGGTTATACTTGTAGAGTTGGACACGGAATTTTGCAAAAACAGATCAAAATTTAGAATAATCTGATGTTTTTACGCACGTTATTTCAATCCACATTCCTCCCTGTACAGTGGCTGTTAAATTGTCGGATTAAAATTTCTCTTGTTGATGTTAATGAGGAATTTGAAAAGATATATAAGTGCTTAAAATTGTTGCGAATCTTAAATTTAATGTTATTATTTTTGAGATGCCCATTTCAATGCGAGTTTTGATTTTGAATATGATCTTCAATTAAAAGAGAAAAATAACCTTGACATGAAATCCCGGAATAAATCAATAAACATTTTGTGACATAGTTAATAATTATCTGACCATTGGATTACTGTGCAGCATGGTATAATGATTTCAAGTAAAGTGTACCAAGTTTGAGTGAGCTCTTCTCTAAAAGAACCAGGGATGAGGATTGAGGAAGAGGATTATCAAGTCCTGACGGGTTAGTTCATTACAATGTTGTTAAATACGTATTAGGAGGGAATACGTATTGGAATACGAATACGTATTAATCCTTGAAAATTGACGTATTACGAAAAGGTGTGTCGTGCGCGCAAAAAATTATTTGCTTATCGGATTATCAATGAAATTTGATTACAAATTTAAGTTATCATGTATAACTGCACTCCTTTAATGCATGATCAATGATGAGGGTGGCGCGCAGCAGTAATGTTTAATTTTGTCAAATCAGCGTATTACGGCGTATTATGGCGTATTCGTGGACGTATTTAACAATCCATAGAAATTACCGTATTACGGCGTATTACGACGTATTCTTTATTAGAACCGAATACGACGTATTCTTTCACGAAAATTTGACGTATTTAACAACCTTGGTTCATTACATCTTACTTAGGGGTCCTTTTTTGGTTAATTTTTCATTTTTAACCCCCCTCTCTCTCCTCCCTGTAATCAGTTTTACACATAGTGTGGTAAAATTACATTAGCGTAACCATTTGGAAACCCCCTCCCCCTTGGCTGATTACGTAATATTTTTGGGGATAGCCTTGTGTTGATATTCATCCCAGAAATAACTGATGAAGTTAATCACAATTATTTTAAACAAGTTGAACAAATCATGGAAATACACAGTTTTTATGAAAAATGTATAGTATAGATCATTAAGGGGGGGGGCCAATGGATATTTTTTTGTGAAACTTGATTTCGAGATAGCAGTTGACCAACAAAGTTAGACCAGTGACCGAACTTTTGAGGGGGTCCCGGACCCCAACCGCCAAACGGTGCCCGCGGGGCAGCCACGCCCATATTTGGTCCAAATTAGGCCCAATTTAGCCAAATACTCTGAACATGCCCAAAACCCAAATTTTAGGTGCTCTACTTGTAGCTAGTGGTCTCCTGAACTCGTATATGAAATTTCATCAAGATTGGACAAAAAATGACTGAGTTATGAGCCAAAAACCATATGCCCATATTTGGGCATACACACCAAATTTGGTAGATTTCGTCCCATAAATTGGTCAAATATCAATATTTTTCACTGAAACTTACTTTATATGAAAGGTAAGCCTAAACTACATATTCTCTGTAATTTATAGCTTTATATCTGTTTAAATGTGGATACTAAGGCGAAAAGACCACAAAAAATGAACTAAATTGCCCATATCTTGGTTCGCGATATTCGCGGAATTGATCTCATTAAAATTGTAACAACTCAATCAGTTTTCAAAATTTTTCCATGAAATTTTCGGAATCGACTCGAAATCGCATTTCCACCTTAGTTTGAGAACAGATTTTTGATTAAGGCCTCAAAAAAAATTTGGCGGCCAAATTCTGAATTTCTCCGGGAAAATTTTGGAATTTGGCCGCCAAATTTTTTTGGAGGCCTAAATCAAAAATCTGTTCTCAAACTAAGGTGGAAATGCGATTTCGAGTCGATTCCGAAAATTTCATGGAAAAATTTTGAAAACTGATCGAGTTGTTACAATTTTAATGAGATCAATTCCGCGAATATCGCGAACCAAGATATGGGCAATTTAGTTCATTTTTTGTGGTCTTTTCGCCTTAGTATCCACATTTAAACAGATATAAAGCTATAACTTACAGAGAATATGTAGTTTAGGCTTACCTTTCATGTAAAGTAAGTTTCAATGAAAAATATTGATATTTGACCAATTTATGGGACGAAATCTACCAAATTTGGTGCGTATGCCCAAATATGGGCATATGGTTTTTGGCTCATAACTCAGTCATTTTTTGTCCAATCTTGATGAAATTTCATATACGAGTTCAGGAGACCACTAGCTACAAGTAGAGCACCTAAAATTTGGGTTTTGGGCATGTTCAGGGTATTTGGCTAAATTGGGCCTAATTTGGACCAAATATGGGCGTGGCTGCCCCGCAGGCACCGTTTGGCGGTTAGGGTCAGGGACCCCCTCAAAAGTTCGGTCACTGGTCTAAGTTTGTTGGTCAACTGCTATCTCGAAATCAAGTTTCACAAAAAAATATCCATTGGCCCCCCCCCCTTAATTAATGTCGATAAGATTTAAAAACTGACCACGAGTATTATACCCGCGATTTAATTTTCTATCCAATTGAAGTGGAGAAGGCATTAAATTCAAATTAGACCACAAACACTTTATCAGACACATGCGTTAATTAAATCTAGTAAATTTGGGGGGGGGGGGGGGGGGGGGGGGGGGGGGCCAACCATATTAAAGTATATTAAAGTATATCCCCGGGTCAAAATCGGAAAAAATCCTACATTTTAATATACTTTAATATACCTACAATTAGAAGATTTCTATTCTTCGTTAAGATTTACATGATGAACTATATTTTTCACTCAGATTCGCAAGATAAGCCTGTTTTAGGACTAGTACATGAATTTCCATCCAGATTGGTCAAAAATTGGCTGAGCTATGAGCTTTAAAAAATATGCCCATATTTGGGCATACGCTTTTGCCCAAATTCGATTTTGCCCAAATTCGATAAAATTTCAATATTTTTTAATGAGACTAACTCTATGTGAAAGATATAACTCAGTGTTTGTTGAATATAGTGGATACTAAGTAAAAAGACCTCCATGAACAAAATTTGGAAAATTGCACATAATATCTCGGTTCGGAATGCTAGCCAAAATGACTTTATTAAAATTGAAATAACTCCATCAGTTTTCAATATTTTTTCAAGAACTTTTTGGAATCGATTAAGAATTGCATTTCAAGCTTATTTTAGGCAACAATTTTTGATGTAGGCCTCCAAGGAGATAGGGATATATTAAAGTATATTAAAGTATATTAAAGTATATTAAAGTATATCCCCGGGTCAAAATTGGGAAAAATCCTACATTTTAATATACTTTAATATGGTTGGCCCCCCCCCCCCCCCAAATTTGTAACTTTTGGTTAAAACATGATTGAATAAATATAGTTTTTAGGATAGAAAATGATTTCTTAATTAAAACATAGGCAAAATTTGATAAATTTACGCCAATTTACGTTAATCAATGAGATCTGGGGGGGGGGGGCCAACCATATTAAAGTATATTAAAGTATATCCCCGGGTCAAAATCGGAAAAAATCCTACATTTTAATATACTTTAATATACCTACAATTAGAAGATTTCTATTCTTCGTTAAGATTTACATGATGAACTATATTTTTCACTCAGATTCGCAAGATAAGCCTGTTTTAGGACTAGTACATGAATTTCCATCCAGATTGGTCAAAAATTGGCTGAGCTATGAGCTTTAAAAAATATGCCCATATTTGGGCATACGCTTTTGCCCAAATTCGATTTTGCCCAAATTCGATAAAATTTCAATATTTTTTAATGAGACTAACTCTATGTGAAAGATATAACTCAGTGTTTGTTGAATATAGTGGATACTAAGTAAAAAGACCTCCATGAACAAAATTTGGAAAATTGCACATAATATCTCGGTTCGGAATGCTAGCCAAAATGACTTTATTAAAATTGAAATAACTCCATCAGTTTTCAATATTTTTTCAAGAACTTTTTGGAATCGATTAAGAATTGCATTTCAAGCTTATTTTAGGCAACAATTTTTGATGTAGGCCTCCAAGGAGATAGGGATATATTAAAGTATATTAAAGTATATTAAAGTATATTAAAGTATATCCCCGGGTCAAAATTGGGAAAAATCCTACATTTTAATATACTTTAATATGGTTGGCCCCCCCCCAGATCTCTGAAACAGCCATGACTTTTAGCAAGACGGTTCATTTTCTTATTGTACCCTTCCTTTTTGTTCGCAAGTTTGGATTTTTTCATCATTTCAAACGCCTTCTCCCTGTAGTGCTCGTAGTCCTGCCCAAAAATCGGAAGTGGTTTGAGTCCAATCATACCAGTAATCTGCTCAGCACCCACGATTGTTTCATAGAGCTCTAAGTACGCTATGGGAAGTAAAGACACGAGATACTCACAGTTTTCCAAAATCCTGCATTTTTCAAGGGCTGCATTTATAGCACTTTTCAATTCAAATTTTCTGGCGTAATAAGGAATTTCGTTATGGAGTCTCTTTAATTTTGTCCGCATTGCATCGTCAGTAGCATGGTCGGAGGTGCAAATTGAACACACACATTCAAAATTCCACTTCATGGACAGAATCTTTTTCCTCTCCAGATATGTGAGGAAGTCATTGTCTGCAATATAATCAGCCACCACTTCCTCTCCTTTTTTGATTCTCTTAATAGCTCTAACCTCTTTATCCGCCCTTACCGTCTCCATGAAACACCATTCGGCGTTCGGTGAACAACTGTGGTTGATCCTGGCTATGGTAGCGTACAAAGCTGCATCGTTTTTAGCTTCGTCATCATCTACTGCTATACAATTTGTACCAAAGACCCGCATTGCCTTTTTCCTGCAAATATTAAGGTACATTATGGTAGGCTGATCTAATTTGCGACAAGTCGGACATACTCCCAGAAATCTCCGATATTCAGATCACATGTCGCAAAAAGTCCCAACCCTTTGCCGCTTGATTCCTTTATCTCAAAAGGATTGCAATTTAATTTGTGGTTTTTACAGTCCTTTACCTGGCAATCTCTGCAGCAATAACGCACTTTACAGCATTTACCGCATTTCTTTGCGGTTGTGGTACCGCAAGTTGCGCAGTTATTGTCTAAGTCTTTCATATCCATAACGTCCTATAAGTGAGTATAAATATGTTATAAGTTATAGTTCCATGGTGATGTCATTATCAGTACTAGCAGTGTCTGGCTTTCATTTACCCAAATACAAAAGTTACTTGATCTTCATCTATCGGCTATCGCGATTCGCGCTGCGCAGTGTTTTCAACATTGCATAAATTGATTGAGGCCTATTAATCGTACTTCATAGAGTTTCCAAAAATTGAGCAACTTCATTACAACAAGTTCGATTAAACTAAAACTTCGAGTTCGAATTCAAGAAAATAACACGAAAATAAAATAACTCGTACGTTTGCGCTAAGAGTCACCGGATTAAACTTAATCAAATGCAAAAAAGAATGACAATGGCAAAATATTATCCACAGTAGTAACAAAGACAGTCCATGACAGCGTATTTTCCAGCCAAACGGAGAAACACCCTGGTGTATGAAGGTCATGACACAGGTGTTACGGTATGTGGGTGATTTCATCAAGCATTGTAATTTGATACTCGCGAAATATAAATTTACTCGTATACAAAATTTACCTACTTGATCTATCGGCTATCGCGATTCGCGCTGCGCAGTGTTTTCAACATTGCATAAATTGATTAAGGCCCATTAATCGTACTTCCTAGAGTCCCTCCAAAAATAAAGCAACCTCAAGTTCGATTAAACTAAAATTTCGAATTCAAGAAAATGACTCAAAACAAAATAACTCTTAGTACGTATGTGCTAAGAGTCACCAGACTCTGATTAGACTGAATGAAATGTTTTAAAAACATGATAATGGAAACAGAGACAGTCCATCGCACTCACACTGTGAGTGACTCACAGCGTATTTGCCAGCCAAACGGGGAACACCTTATGACATACAGTATGCTGGGTAATGTCATTAAGCATTGTAATTTGACACTCGCGAAATGTAAAAATAATATGACTACAATAAAAATATTTTCACACGATGTCATTGATCTTTATTCTACGTATCACGTGAGCGCAAGCTTCTTGTTTTCAGAACAAAGTAATTAGTCCGTAGGGCGTAGAAGGAACATAGTGTGTGTAATCTTATTTTCTATGAGACTTACATGTATTATTATTTTAAACATTTATTTTAAACATTTTCGACTAAACTATTTGAAAACACTATTATATCAGAAATGCGTTAATTAAATCTAGTAAATTTGTAACTTTTGGTTAAAACATGATTAAATAAACATAGTTTTTTGAATAGAAAATAATTTCTTAACTAAAACATAGGCAAAATTTGATAAATTTGCGCCAGTTTGTTAATCAATTAGATCTCTGAAACAGCCATGTTGCAAGAATATTCCTTCTCTTTTCGTAACTTTCCTTTCCGTTCGCAAGTTTGAAGTTTGTCGTCATTTCTAACGCCCTCTCCCTGTACTGTTCATAGTGCTCAAAATTAGGAGGAATACCATTATACTGCTTAAAAGCCTCAATTGATTCATAGAGATCAAAGTACGCCATGGGAAGAAAGGACACGAGATACTCACAGTCTTCCAAAATCTTGCATTTTTCAAGGGCTGCATTTATAGCACTTTCAAATTCATTTCTACTGTTGTAATCAGGAATTTCGTCATGGAGTTTCTTTAATCTTCTCCGCATTGCATCGTCAGTAGCATGATCGGAGGTGCAAATTGAACACGCGCATTCAAATTTCCACTTCTTGGACAAGATCTCTTTCCTCTCCAGATATGTGGAGAAGTCATCGTTACTATTATAATCAGCCACCACTTCTTCTCCTTTTTTGATTTTCTTGATAGCTCTAACCTCTTTATCCTCCCTTGCCGTCTCAATATTGATATAACTCCATTCGGCGTTTGGCGAACAACTGTGGTTGATCCTTGCTATGGTAGCGTACAAAGCTGCATCGTTTTTAGCTTCGTCAACATCTACTGCTATACAATTTGTACCAAAGATCCGCATTGCCTTTTTCCTGCAAATGAAGATACATTAGGGGGGGGGGGGGGGGGGGGGGGGGGGTGCTCAACTTATTTCAGAGAGTGATAAACCCATTATACCACATTGTTTTATATATATGATTATATACAGAGGGGGGGGGGGGGGGTCAAAAGTCAGTTTGTTTACATACGTTGGGTCTTATACCACCGCCGTGTTTTATATTTGAGACTTGTTGCTTTGCGGATGAAGTACACTGTACCTACTCATTCAAGGATATTGAAAATTCTTGACACATATTGGGCGCAAAGCGACCCCCGGCCACAAAAGGCATCTCTCTCTCTCTCTCTCTCTCTCTCTCTCTCTCTCTCTCTCTCTCTCTCTCCCTCTCTCTCTCTCTCTCTCTCTCTCTCTCTCTCTCTCTCTCTCTCTCTCTCTCTCTCTCTCTCTCTCTCTCTCTCTCTCTCTCTCTCTCTCTCTCCCTCTCTCTCTCCCTCTCTCTCTCTCTCTCTCTCTCTCTCTCTCTCTCTCTCTCTCTCTCTCTCTCTCTCTCTCTCTCTCTCTCTCTCTCTCTCTCTCTCTCTCTCCCTCTCTCTCTCTCTCTCTCTCTCTCTCTCTCTCTCTCTCTCTCTCTCTCTCTCTCTCTCTCTCTCTTTCTCTCTCTCTCTCTCTCTCTCTCTCTCTCTCTCTCTCTCTCTCTCTCTCTCTCTCTTTCTCTCTCTCTCTCTCTCTCTATCTCTATCTATCTCTCTCTCTCTCTCTCATTGCGTACACGTGAGAGGAATACAGCTAACAGCGCGTAGCAAGAAAATTCGGTTTTTTAGATTGATTAAATCATGTGATTACGTGGTACGACACCGTAATTCCCACGATTCCCATAGTGCCAACGCAATCACCTGATCACACTTAATGAATAACATCGTTATGCTTCATATCTCGGTCATCTGAGAAGCTAATGTACCCTAATGTAATTTCATACAACTATACAATTTGGTTCTATCCGATTATTCAATTTCCAACTATTAAATAAATGCGAAAATGAACCGTAATTCGAAGAAAAGATCTTTAATTTGACGTATTCCTCAAATGAGTGGTGATAGTAAGTCATACCAGAGAGAATTATTTCAATTGGACACTCAGTGACTGGGCTATTAAGGCCAACGTATGTACACTGAATTTTGCCCCTCCCCCCTGTATATGTACTACCTAACCTGTCACAATTGCCAAACAGATCAGTTTTCAATGAAATTAAATTGAAGGAAAAGTAAATTTATTACCATTCCTCTTCGACTTCATTGGAAGATGAATCCTGAGTGAGATCAAGAACCAGATCCTTCTTTTCCCTACTCAGCGCCTCATACGCTTCCTTAAACGTCTCACTCCCAGGGAGCATAATCGAATAATTATCGGATAGGATATCATCAGAGGTATGACCAGCATCGAAGTACAAGATAGGATTCTCCCGGACAATTAGGTCTCCGATATTCAGATCACATGTCGCAAAAAGTCCCAACCCTTTGCCGCTTGATTCCTTTATCTCAAAAGGATTGCAATTTAATTTATGGTTTTTCCAGTCCTTTACCTGGCAATCCCTGCAGCAATACCGCACTTTACAGCATTTACCGCATTTCTTTGCGGTTGTGCTACCGCAAGTTGCGCAGTTGTTGTCTAAGTCTTTCATATCCATAACGTCCTATAAGTGAGTATAAATATGTGATATTTGCTAGTGCTACGTACATATTATCATATCTTGCGTGTTTAACCGTCCAAATAAATCATTTGACGCGCAAGACCAAGACAACATGTAACACATGATAACTATTTTATAATGTATAAGTTATAGTTCTATGGTCTCGTCATCATCAGTAGTGTCTGGCTTTCATTTACCCAAATACAAAAGTTACTTGATCTATTGGCTCTCGCGATTTGCGTTGCGCAGTGTTTTCAACATTGCATAAATTGATTGAGGCCCATTAATCGTACTTCATAGAGTTTCCAAAAATTGAGCAACTTCATTACAACAAGTTCGATTAAACTAAAACTTCGAGTTCGAATTCAAGAAAATAACACGAAAATAAAATAACTCGTACGTTTGCGCTAAGAGTCACCAGATTAAACTTAATCAAATGCAAAAAAGAATGACAATGGCAAAATATTATCCACAGTAGTAACAAAGACAGTCCATGACAGCGTATTTGCCAGCCAAACGGAGAAACACCCTGGTGTATGAAGGTCATGACACAGGTGTTACGGTATGTGGGTGATTTCATCAAGCATTGTAATTTGATACTCGCGAAATATAAATTTACTCGTATACAAATTTACCTACTTGATCTATCGGCTATCGCAATTCGCGCTGCGCAGTGTTTTCAACATTGCATAAATTGATTGAGGCCCATTAATCGTACTTCCTAGAGTCCCTCCAAAAATAAAGCAACCTCAAGTTCGATTAAAAGATTAAACTAAAATTTCGAATTCAAGAAAATGACTCAAAACAAAATAACTCTTAGTACGTATGTGCTAAGAGTCACCAGACTCTGATTATACTGAATGAAATGTTTTAAAAACATGATAATGGCAACAGAGACAGTCCATCGCACTCACACTGTGAGTGACTCACAGCGCATTTGCCAGCCAAACGGGGAACACCTTATGACATACAGTATGCTGGGTAATGTCATTAAGCATTGTAATTTGACACTCGCGAAATGTAAAAATAATATGACTACAATAAAAATATTTTCACACGATGTCATTAATCTTTATTCTACGTATCACGTGAGCGCAAGCTTCTTGTTTTCAGAACAAAGTAATTAGTCCGTAGGGCGTAGAAGGAACATAGTGTGTGTAATCTTATTTTCTATGAGACTTACATGTATTATTATTTTAAACATTTATTTTAAACATTTTCGACTAAACTATTTGAAAACACTATTATATCAGAAATGCGTTAATTAAATCTAGTAAATTTGTAACTTTTGGTTAAAACATGATTAAATAAACATAGTTTTTTGAATAGAAAATAATTTCTTAACTAAAACATAGGCAAAATTTGATAAATTTGCGCCAGTTTGTTAATCAATTAGATCTCTGAAACAGCCATGTTGCAAGACTATTCCTTCTCTTTTCGTAACTTTCCTTTCTGTTCGCAAGTTTGAAGTTTGTCGTCATTTCTAACGCCTTCTCCCTGTACTGTTCATACTGCTCAAAAATCGGAGGAATATCATTATACTGCTTAAAAGCCTCAATTGATTCATAGAGATCAAAGTACGCCATGGGAAGAAAGGACACGAGATACTCACAGTCTTCCAAAATCTTGCATTTTTCAAGGGCTGCATTTATAGCACTTTCAAATTCATTTCTACTGTTGTAATCAGGAATTTCGTCATGGAGTTTCTTTAATCTTCTCCGCATTGCATCGTCAGTAGCATGATCGGAGGTGCAAATTGAACACGCGCATTCAAAGTTCCACTTCTTGGACAGGATCTTTTTCCTCTCCAGATATGTGAGGAAGTCATCGTCTGCAATATAATCAGCCACCACTTCCTCTCCTTTTTTGATTTTCTTGATAGCTCTAACCTCCTTATCCTCCCTTACCGTCTCCATGAAACTCCATTCGGCGTTCGGCGAACAACTGTGGTTGATCCTAGCTATGGTAGTGTGCAAAGCTGCATCGTTTTTAGCTCCGTCATCATCTATTGCTATGCAATTTGTACCAAAGATCCGCATTGCCTTTTTCCTGCAAATGAAGATACATTAAGGGGGGGGGGGGGGGGGCTGAACTTATTTTCGACAAGCCGGACATGCTTCCAGAAATTATCCTAAAGAGTGAAGAACTCATTATTCCACATTGTTTTATATATATCAAAAGTCAGTTTGTTTACATACCATTCCTCTTCGACTTCATTGGAAGATGAATCCGGACAAAGCCCTCGAATCATGTCATTCCATCTCACTGGAACTGAGTCAGCTCCAGTGAGATCAAGAATCATATCCTTCTTTTCCCTACTTAGCGCCTCAAATGCTTTCTTAAACGTCTTAGGGTTCCCAATATTAGAACCACCCTCAAAGTACAAGATAGGATTCTCCCGGACAATTAGGTCTCCGATATTCAGATCACATGTCGCAAAAAGTCCCAATCCTTTGCCGCTCGATTCCTTTATCTCAAAAGGATTGCAATTTAGTTTATGGTTTTTCCAGTCAGTTACCTGGCAATCCCTGCAGCAATAACGCACTTTAAAGCATTTACCGCATTTCTTTGTGGCTGTGCTACCGCAAGTTGCGCAGTTGTTGTCTTCCATAACGTCTTACGAGTGAGTATTTAGGATATTTGTTATTTTAGCATACCCGGTATACTGCCGTTTTCTGACAAAAGTGCTTAAGGGGGCCGGGGGGGGGGTCTTCATCAAAATTCTCTCGAAATCGACTTTATAGTTGTTTCTGATAGAGGGGAGTGATATCTATCAGCTGCTTTTGGTCTCATGGAAAAATATTGTTCCTAGCCGAAATTATCGCTGGTAAAAGGTCAGCGCTTATATCTTTATGTGTAATTGTATTGCGCGAGCGATTTTCAATCGCGCGTTCTGAAAATCGAGTCTAAAAATCTATCTTCTCCCACATTTTTTGAGCAATCACCCTCAAACTTTCAGGATATGTTCTAAGGATCAGTTAGAAGAGAACTCTAGAGCCAGAATTTTGAGATAGGCCTTCAAAGATTTTTAATTCGATTTTGAAAATCTTGGACTTCTAAAAATCAAGGTCCAAGATTTTCAAAATCGAATTAAAAATCTTTAAAGGCCTATCTTTAAATTCTGGCTCTAGAGTTCTCTTGTAACTGATCCTAAAAACATATCCTGAAAGTTTGAGGGTGATTGCTCAAAAAATGTAGGAGAAGATAGATTTTTAGACTCGATTTTCAGAACGCGCGATTGAAAATCACTCGCGCAATACAATTACACATAAGCGCTGACCTTTTACCAGCGATAATTTCGGCTAGGAAAAATAATTTCCATGGGACTAAAAGCAGCTGATAGATATCACTCCCCTCTATCAGAAACAATTATAAAGTCGATTTCGAGAGAATTTTGATGAAGACCCCCCCCCCCCCCCCGGCCCCCTTAAGTAACACAAGGTTCATTTTGTGCAAATTGACTTTAAAGATTTCAATTCTGTAATTGCTCTGGGCTAGCTGCTGTCAAATTTAAACTGAACCCTGACAGGTTGAGGTAGGCACAACTTTGGTTGTGATTGATGTTTTTTTGATGCAGTAAAATTATCGATTAGGGAATACTTAAATAAAAACTTTATCAGTTTATCGTTATCGACAAATAAAAATCCATACAATTTATATTACGGAGCTAGATCGTAGATAGATAGTAGTATAGATGATAACAAGAAACTATAACATAACTGATTTTAAATTTCCGGATGTATAGGTTTGAGGAAGCCTATGAGCTAGGTAAGCAGATAACTTAGTGTTTACCATGTTATAAAGTTATAAGGCACAACACTCATACTCGAAAAATAAAATCGTACAAGAAAAATGTATGGTCAGGAACAGGTTGTAATAATACGGAATATTTAAACTGTCCCTTTGATCACGAATCAATACGAACAAAAAGGTAGATTGATTACAGCGTGAATATGAGGTATATAAGATGAGCTATAGAAATGAATAGATATGTTTCGCTCTATAAGGCAGCTGACCCAGGCCGAGTCTATCGAGCACAAAATAAAAGGATGAAACATTTTTCCTGTAAGCTTGTAGTAAAAAATAAAAATATACTAGCTTGTTGAGTTGTTAAGTATTACATGCGATGAGCTATTCTTACTTTACATCACAAGATCCAATCATGTCCTAACATTCCCTACTCAAAGCCAATATCCCATTCACTGTAATTGATAAGCTAAGAAGGTACACGAATCGTGTGTGAACAATGTTGCGTTATCCAGCTATTATCGTGCGAAGTACCTACAGCTTTACACGTCACGAGGCACACTGTTCCTACTCAAGTATTGCATCCTACAAATCTTCTCTCAAGATACTATTTATTCAGCAATACTATCGAGAATATATCTATTTATATTAAAACTTGACGAAAAAATCCATAATTTCTGATTCGGAGACGAAAACCAATCGACAATTTGCTTCATTTTAAGTCAGGCAAGCTAAAACTCTGCAGTCTCAACTGATTAGAGAATAAAAATTTTAAAGCAAATTTTGAAGCAAATTTTGAAAGGTTCTGCATTGGCAAATCGGCAATTTTGACGGCGAAGCTAGCGTTTCTGAAGTTTATGACCATCACCAATCGATCCGTCATGAAAATTTAGATTTGTAAGTACCGATTATATAGCTTCAGTTGACAGAATCAACATTTAATTAAAAGTATTTATACTTTTATAAAAGTATATGGCACTTAAGCACTTTTGTGAGAAAACGAGCTCGTTTTCACAAAAGTGCCTAAGTGCAATGAATTGTTTTTTTTTCAGGCCAAAAGACCCACGATCACCAAATTGCCGTCACTAGGCCAGTTTGGGACGTAGAAAACAATGCCACCATTTTGATTCCATGGCAGCGTCCTTGCCAGCCAAACAGGGAAACACTTGGGTCTCTGTGGATGATGTTATCAAGCATTGTAATTTGATTCTCGCGAAATGTAAAAATGATATGATTACAATATGTAAATTGTAAGTATTTTTACACGATATTATTTATCTATGTACATTCTACGTGAACGCAAGCTTCATGTTTTCAGAATAAATTAGAGTATCGACTGTAGAAGGAACATAATGTGTGTAATCTTATTTTCTATGAGGCTTAAATGTGAGTGCTAGTCACATATCGTTTGGGGTTTTAAAGTTCGACACGCACGTCCCTTAGCCCTTGATACGAGAAACATCCCATTAGTAAAGGTTCCAGTTCCTTATGAGTTCCTCTAAACTATATCGAGCAGACAAGTCTTAAAGATAATGTTTACTTCTTAAGTACTTCTTAATGAGCAGCTATGAAGTACTGAGTTGTCATGGGTACTGTGTAGCCCATTTATACATCACACCACTATCGCCACCACCCGGTTAAGTAAAATCCTGCATGCTAGGAGTAAACTACTGCTACTGTCGGAACTAAGTCCGATAACACCCTCCATATATCCCTGTCCCACATCAGGGTTCGCAGTTCCTCTTTAGAGTTTGTCCCAACTTCCTTCAGTAACATCGACAAATAGTTTTTTTCTTGGTCGGCCTTGCTGTGCACTACCATGCGTAGGTTTCCATAAGACTAAATCACTGGCAAGTAGCTCAGGATGTCTAGGATTAAATACATCAAATCAATTATTATTTTAAAATTAACCAATTCTGTTAAACATTATTGAACAGCTATATTTAAATGGCTCGTAACATTGTCTTAACCTCCAACTGTGTAGCATGGTACAATGTCTGAGTGAAGTTTACCCAGCGATAGAGAGGTGCCCCCAGGACAGCGTTTTACTAGCTACCTCCGGAGGTGTTGTGGTATGTGCGGTATCTAAAGAATGTGCTGAGCAGGCCCTCGGATTCCTGCCTTCCGGCATTTCCGCGCTGGGTAAGACTGAGATTCTTCATGTGTATTTTGACATGATTTTGTTAACATATTCAGAGGATGAAACGACCCTTAATTACTTAATAGTCGATCCAATGAATCCAGCTACAAAATTGTCTTACGACTTATATTCAATTCAAGAAGCAATTTTATTTGTATCAATTTTAGAGAAATTAAAATAATAATTTTAAGATTTGTCTGCTATCAATCTCTACAGGATCTATTCAAGATATCGGTGATGATATCGAATATGTAAAGGATGATATCCCACTGATACGAATTGTAGGTTCAGTCGATATCTTGGTCAATAAAAGAGATGGAGTGTATCACCCTGCTTCAATTGAGAAAGCTAGGTAACGTTACTTCTTTTCTGGTTATTTCTGGCACTGATTATCGCTGTAATCATATTCATAGTTGAACGAGACTCGAGAGGTTTCTATCCTTGGGTTGATATGATTGGATACTTAAAATTTAAGTTTATTATTCAATTTCAACTGTTAATGATATTTTGGTTCTGAGTATAACCAGATTATTAAATATAACAAGTTACATAATTTCCATAAAAGTTCACTAAAACATGACAAAAGACAGGTTCTACAAGATGCTGTTCTGTTGAGCAACAACACTGTCCTAACTGCTGATAAAGCTGTACCTCCAGCGCAGTCTAACTATCAGCTCGCACTTGACATCTCATCTCAGGTATAGTTTAATTAATAATATTATGAAATCAAACCCGATCGATATTTTATTATAATCCGAACCTTACATTTGGAGATATTCTTGTTCTTATTGCTATCTTCCAATTTCACCTCTTCCATCCTTAACCTGTCTTAACAAGCAAGTTTTCTGTTATCAGGAGGGAAGAGCCCCTGTGATTCTGTCAGATAGCGACTGTTACAAGACAAGTGTTGATATCGATGTTATCATGATACCAGACAGTGATATTAGCGCTAGAGAATGTATTCTCCAACAATTCGATAAACTTATCCTAGGTGAATCTATATTCTATCAATTTTAAGTTATAAATGCTCAATACCTTCTTATATTTTTGCTAACATCTGTGAACGAGCACAGCTATGATGTATTGAGTATTAAAACTAAAACATTCCTTCTGTGATGACCAATAATCCCCTTTCAGATGTCAAAAGGAATGCTCTGCATTTCCAACCACCGGGTTTTGGGGCCCCCCTCACATTCCTTGATTCCCACAGTAAAGATGCAACTTCTGAATTACACCGGGTATTTAACATGCCTGCTGTCAGCCATTTTCATCCAGCTCAAGCTATAAGGTATCGATTTTGGTGTTCTTTAAGTTAATACTTGATGCAAAGCTATCGCTTTTTACGGTATCTTTTTTTCTGAATCAGATATATTCTATTTCAGTTTCAATATTTTCTTCTCATCCATCATTTTATTACTTTAACGATGCTTGCTCTACTTTCATCCGCGATTCTTATATCTTGCAAACCGACTTGTAGTTGTACAGTAAGCTACACACAGTACTTCATCAATTAACCTAAATAAACAGACCACTTTAAATACACCTGACACTGAGTTTACACCAGAGTGGAGAAGTGTGACGGAGAAGGGAGACTGATAACACCGCACAAGAATGTGTCTGGAGTCAAGTCACGTGATGTTCTCACAGTTTCTGGGGACTACGCTTATCATCATTATATGCAGGTTTGTATCTTTATTTTGTAGGCATCCTGATCCCTATTCATAACTAGATAGCATTTCATCTTTACTTAGGTCATGTGCCAGTTAAAATAGTGATGATATTAGAAGTCACAATGATAATATATTTTCATAATTCGTGTTGCAAAATTTTATAATTCAATATGACGTACAGAATGTAGTTCTGAATAAATTCCCATAGAAATTGCTGGGGTATTTTTGTATTTGTGTACAGATTCTATTCAGCGGCTTTACTTGAATTTTCTCTCGTATAACTTACAATTATACAGGGGCCCAGAATACACAGTTATACGTGAAGGTCACAGCTTTTCTTTTAGATATTAACTGTAATCTATCAGTACAGTTTATTCTGGACCTCCCTTTACATGTAGTTAATTACATATAATAATAATAATAATATGTAATTATATAATATATAATAAAAGATCATTAGCCTACTCCAACCACCAGATCCCTAACACGTGCTGATAACAAGAGAGATAACAGTTTCCTCTTGTTATCTAACAGATGCAGGTCCAGAGGAAGGAGCGTCTCCCAGGAGTTGCCACGAGGAGGCTGATCTTCTGGTTACACCCGCTCTCAGCTCTGTCTTATTAGTCTCTTTATCTATTATCTCATGATCAAGACACAAATTAAGCAAGAAGTAACAAATTAAGCAAGAAGTACCATGCCTGCTCTTGATTATTGCTGCTTGTTGGTTATTTAAGAGACAAAATGAGACATGAAGCTGAATGAATAGCAAGTGTGTCCTGTAGCCCGCTCTCAAGTACCAACATGACCCAAACCACCCACCTGGTACCCACAGTTGGAATATCTAGTTCATGTCCTGTAATAGGGCCCACTGGACCACGTAAATCTCAGCTACTCTAGATTCTAGAACCAGTACCTCCCCTCCCCACCTCCCTCAACCCGGCTGCAGAGAGCGGGCCACAAACTCCCGAACCCACTGAGCCCGTCCTCCCTAGCCGCAGAGCTTTCTCTGATCTGGCATTCAACTTGGTAGCAACCAGGGAACTAGCCACCACCACCACCGAAACAGGGTGAAGTCTCCTCGACCCTGGTCCCGCGCTAGCGAACATCGAACAAAATTCAAACTTAAATAGTTATGTTTGTATCGGCTAGCAGGTGCCGAGGTGAGAAGACCGGAAGACCCTAGCAGAGCTTCACCCACACACATAACAACAACCTGGTCGCTCCACTGAACAGGTACGAAGTGGTACTTTTCACTCCAGCGGTACGTTTCACTACAATGGTTACTTATCACTCCAGTGCACGGTTCAGTGTTTGAAGATCAGGGGACACAGCCGCGCGGTCAGTCCCCCCTGACCTCCTGCTCCAAGGTGTCAACTCAGTGTGCTGGGTGAAACTGACTGCTAGTCACCTAGTCCGGCAACAGCAATGTCCAGCCCCCTGACAATTGATAATTTGTACAACGATTACACCATGTCGAAGGGGGATGCCAGGGAAAGATATAGCGGCCTGGTCCGATGGAAGGCAGGCTCAGCAAGTATTAAAAACTGTAAGACAAGATAGGCAGATGAAAGATTCTGATTCTCTTGTTGCCGGACAAAGACTGTGCCGTGGTCCAGTGTTTTATACATACGACGCCTCTTCCTTCGACCACCCTCACGCCGCCTCTGCCTCATCCACCGTCATCACGCTGCTTCGTCAGGGTGGCACCAGCTCACATCGTGTCTTACTCTGAGCAAAGAATAATTGTTCTCGTTGCCAGGCAACCAATAATAGCACTCACGCTTAATCACGTGACTCAAAATTTGTGATCTCATTCGCCTGGCTAGCATATTCTCACCACGCAGTAAGTAGATTTAGCCGGATTTAGCCTGCCAATGAGGACTAGTACTCCACCACACGTGACCCTGTGTGACCAATAACAGCTCATTGTTGCACCACGTGTCCAGGTAATGTTATCACAAGTGATACGTGATGACAATACTCACATTACCACTGATGTGCTCATTAACCAATGTCGTGGTCCCTGGCTCCAGGTTAGCCAATGAGCTGGGGTAGGTTTTTTACCTGTGCACACTGTAGGAAATATCAGGTAGATGGTGGGGAGTGGGGTGGTGCTGGTATCTTAATCACTTGCATTATCTAATCTAGCGTACATTATCTAATCTAGCGTACATTATCTCGAAGACAAAGTCTTTATCAAGTTTGAATATTAACATGCTTTGAAAAATTTTAAACTCTTATCGCTGACTCAGTTACTCAGCAGGGCAGTATCAAAGAAGTCATTGTCTAGGTAAGGTGCGGATGATATTGATAAGACGGGCTTGAATTGCGTATTTGAGATTAGGAACCGACCGGATATCCGGCTGAATCCGGATCCGGCCGGATATCCGGCTTCAATATCCGGTTCCGGCTCCGGCTCCGGTTTCAAAAATTTTGCCGTATTTTTTGCCGGATATTTCATTTTTAAAATGTATTTCTAAAATCTTGAAATGCATATTTTTCGTCACATTTTAACTCGAATCCCTAAAATCAAAACTTTTTTCACTATACTTTGAAAAGCCAAAAAAATATTTTCGGCTAATAATGAACAGGGTAGCATGAAACGTGGAGAAAAGTGGTTTTCAGAAAAAAATTTTGACTTCAAAAATTTTCGGTTTGAGCACTGAGTGATTCTCGATACGTACCTCCTGTATCGAGAGATCCCGCTTCCGAGCTTGTGTTGCAAAGGGAAGGCTTACAACAGATTGTCGTGAAGCATATACTGCCGTTCCCTGAGAAAAGGCATTAAGTCCATTTTTACGAAATTTTGAGATATTGGTACCAAAATTTTCAGGAGAAGATTCTCTACAACTTAAGCTATGAATCAAGTTATGAAAATACTGTTTTAGCTGTCACGAAAGGCAGCTTAAGTCACAAAAAACTTGAATATTTAGCTCGTTATCCCAAAACATTCCCTGAGAAAAGGCATTAAGTACGTTTGTAGAGCCTTCTCTGTGGGAACTTTTTCTGTTTCCTGAGATTCCCTGAGAAAAGGCATTAAGTCCACTTTATTTGCAGTTTTTGTAGTTTTTGGCCTATAACTTCCGCAGCTTTAGTTATATCGAAAAGATTTTATGTGGTCGTTATCAGCTCAGCAAGCAAAAAGTTTTGGTACCAATATTTAAAAATTTAAATAAATATTATTTTCAACATTTTTGAACCCGAACACAAGGGTCCCCCCTTGTGTGAATTATTGAAACATTTTTTGAAAAATTTGGTGCTTTAAATATTGTTCAAATTTTTTTAACCCAAATTAATGCGTCTGACTAAATGCGATGCTGTAAAAATTATTTCAATATATTCGAGGAAAAATGGACTTACTGCCTTTCTAGAGAGGAATCGGTTAAATTCGATCCTGATTAAAGGCAGTAAGTCCGCAATTCCCTCAGAAAAGGCATTAAGTCCAATTCGGATGGGAAAATAGTTTAGTTATTCTGGAGAAAAATGGTTTTTATAGATCAGTGTTGGTGAATTTATGCTTTTAAGCATGTTTAGAACATATGTAATAAAGCTTATTGAATGGGAAAAGCGAGCGACCGATTTCATTCTCGGTATCAATTTGCATTTGCGGACGGTTATTCAAATTAATATCATTTAATTTTGTTTGGGAAAGAAAGACATATATATTACTTCATCTTGTTACATTTTTACACGGTAAGTTAAGAAAACCATCTCGTTATTTAAAAGTAGCCGTGTTCCTCCAAACCTACGACTTTAAGGAACTAAAAGTAGCTGTATTTCGCCGTTAACCTACACCTTATACTGTATACTTCATGATTGGGTCGTAATTCAAAAGCTAATTTGACAAGAACTAGAAGTGGGGCTCATTGGGTCACTTAACGCCACTTGCGTCACACTCACAGTGAAGGTATGTGTTTTCTGATCTAGGAACATGTACCTTGCTCGGATATTAGATTATGAAAATATGTGGAATTCTAATAATATCGATCCAGGATTGTTCCGCAGAAGCAATATTAAGAGGTGCAAGGATCTCAAAGGAACTTTTAATAGAATTCAACAATCAAAAGGTCGTACTCGTATGTGATTTGCCTTGAGTCACAGCAAAGGTATGTGTTTATTGCCTTTACAATTAGGTTACCTGTCTGCAGGAGTAGGACTATATCAGTATATCTGTATAATATATAGTCCTAGTCCTACAGACTGGTTATCTAATTGTCCAGCCTTATTATCTGGTATTGAGAGCTCCCGCTTCCGAGCTCGTGTTGCAAAGGGGAGGCCTGCCTTCCGAGATTGCGTTACCAGGGGAAGCCTCGAGTCCCCTCGAGACTACGTACTGCTTGTAGATCGTTGATTTGATATATTACCCTTGGCGGCTTGGCTATAATGTCTACTGCTAAACAGAAAACATCATCGGTCTGGTCATACTACTCAGAGGAATGCGGAACCCCGTATGCACGTTGCAACAAGTGCTCAGTCAACTTGCAGCTTGCTGCTTACCTATCAGAATTTCAATTATGACTTTCATTTGGTTGAAAATTGTACGAAAATTAGCTAGAAATTATTCGAAAATTTAGGTGGGGCACGAGAACTGTTAGTTAGACTGTAAACACTATCTTATTGTGTGATTCCACATGATAATGACAAATATCTAAAAATAAGGATATAAATTTAAATTTTGCGGCATGTTCCGGCTGCCTTATATTTTACCCTCCAAACACCGGTTTTGGTCCGGCAGAATCCGGCTAACCGGATAGTAAATTGATATCCGGCAAGATCCGGTCCGGCAGCCAAAAGCCCATTCCGGTCAGTTCCTATTTGAGATGTTGGCACAAGATAACTTTTCTTGCAAAATAGTATGCATGAAAGTAAAAACTGGCCCGATTAGAAAATCATTGACACACCCTATTTTGGTTTTACTGTACCAGGAAGTGTGACGGTAATATATGTAGTTTAGTTAAAAACTTTTAACTAAAATAACAAGTCTGTCAGTTTGATAAATATGAAAACCCTTAGCTTTAGTTATCTGCTAGAGTTGCATACCAGATACCGGAGGTATAGGGCCTGTCGTGATAATATCTTATCGCTTAGGTTCCACCAGGATCTGGTAGTCCTCATAATTCTGCGGTCTCCATGTATCGTCATCTCGCACAACTCCTTAAGAATCTTAAGAGTTTGGCATGTGAAAATTTACAGCCTTCCAGACATTGATTGGGTTAACGAGGTGTCACCCCAAGTGGAAGTATTTCCCTCTACAAACTGTTGCCATATTTTACCAGGTTTACTACAGAAATCTTGTCCTTAATTCGATTTAACCCGGTATCTAGGTATGTGACTGAAAATTAAGGAGCTGCAATATTCTGGATAAAAAAAATTTCATCATGTCACTGTCGAGTATCGAACGATTGTCTAGTTTTGAGACGAATTTAGCGAACTGAGGATTAGAAAACGTAGTGCCGATAAAGTAGAACAAATTATACGAAAAACTTTTAATATTCAAAAAATAAACTACGTAGCTAGTTTCGCGTGACCCAAAGATTACAATTAATGTAATCATTGATTCAAGGTTCTTCCACCGTCAACATTGATTATTTGGCCAGTTAAGTACTGATTACTAATCACAAAGTCCACTGCATTCCCAATATCCTCCGCGCTCCCAGTTGCTTTAAGCGCAGTCTTGGCCACAACATCCCGTTTGTACTCCTCACCATGTTTCCCCTGGATCCAGGATATTGCTCCAGGACTGACCCCATTAACCCGTACTCCACTCCGTCCCAGCTCCAGAGCTGCAGACTGTGTCAAGGCTATCAGTGCAGCCTTGGATACCGAGTAAGCGGTGTGATGTAGGAGAGGCCTGGTACCGTGAATATCACAGATGTTGACAACACAGCCTTTGTTGGGTGCAAGGTGCTTTGTTGCTGACTGGATGAGGAAGAAGGGGGAACTAAGGTTTGTCATCAAGATCTTGCTCCAAACCTGAGAGGAATAAATGGTTCGGTATTTACCAATCATAAAAGGGCATTTGAATTTATTCAATGATCAAAAATTCAGGGTTTTGGGCATGTATTATTACATCCTGTTGGTTTACAACAAGCAAAAATAGTAGCAAATCTAGACTTTTCAAAACCAATTTTCTTGCTTTTTCGCCTATATATAATTATTTCTCTGCACGACCAACTTAACTAAATAAGCCTTAAATATAGTGTTAGTAGCAGAAAAGTTATACCTCTTGATCGGTTGCAGAGAAGTGTGTCTGGTAGGAAAACAGAGCATTATTCACCAGCACATCTAATCTACCCCACGTTGAACAACAAGATCGACAACTTTTAGTGAGGTCTCCCCGGTGAAACAGAAAATCACCGGAACAGCGAAAGACTTGTCCACTCGTGGCATCATTCAAGAGTGCCGCGAGGTCATCAGCCTCTTCCTTTCCGTTACATAGTGGATGGCAATATTATAACCGTTACGGTGGAGTCATGTGGCGAGTGATCTACCATCTTGCTAGACTAACGGAATCTTGGATTTCCGTGTTTTATAGACTGGCTGTGTCAGTCTGGATTTCCGTGTTTTATAGACTGGCTGTGTCATGACTCACACGGCTTGCTGTGTGCACGGCTTGCTGTGTGATGCTCAGTGATCACACCGCTCTCTGAATGAATCGTGCGATATTTGGTATCATACCTTTAATTTTGAATTCGCAACAAAAGCCGGTAGAATTCTACACTTATGTTGTTTCGGTATTAAGACCTTCGCTTTGCAAATTTAGTATTAATTTACATAATTGTTCACCGTTGACAAAGTCTTTAGCATACCAACTTATAATGATTTGTACTTTTAGGTTGTAATTTTGGTTTCATTTCATTTCAATTTGTCCCATTTGGTTTTTTAACAACCAATTGTTATATTCTCCTAAGTAAAAGCACGATGTTAATCATAACCACCTACTTCAGATGGCAGATATTTTGGAAGTTAACAGTCTCCAAGTAAGGACACAAGTGGGATTCAGCCCCCACGAGCTGAACAAGCTCCAGGAGATCAATATCACATTCAAACTGTACACAGACACTTCAACAGCTGGGCAAACTGATGATATTCAACATGGTATCAACATCAAACCTGTCTGTAAAGAAATCATCAGCCACGTACAAGGAAAGAAATACGCGCTAATAGAGGCTATCGCTGAAGATGTCGCCTGTATCTGCTTACACAGTGGAGAAAACCTAAGGGTAGATGTGAAGATTGAGAAACCGAACGCTATCCGTTTCTCCAAGTTTTCAGCGGTCACCATCAGTCGGGTGCTATCAGATCTACCCTCATATGACGTCATCATCTCCATCGGTTCAAACATTGAGCCTGCAATAAATGTTCCGGTAGCATTACGACAAATCTGTCAACGTGTTGGTCCTATTTCTAATATTTCAAAGTGCTACCAAACGCCAGCCATCGATTCTTCATGTTCCGAAGACAAGAAAGGGGGCAGTTTCTATAATGTTGCTGTAGAGGTTTCAACTCATTTCAACCAAGTAAAGCTGAAAGATGAGCTTTTGAGGATAGAAGATGATATGGGACGTGTTCGAGATTTGAATGACAAGTTCGCGCCACGCTGTATAGATCTGGACATATTGTTCCAGGCGAGTAGCACTCCTGCTAGTGGAGCTCAGACTTGGCTAGACGTGAAGGATATTAAACGGTTTCCTCACGTCACAGTTCCAATATCTGATATCAAACCACACTTCAAAAGTGATGCCACGGCTGGAGCGTCCATTCTTTTGCTGGCTCAGCAGCTTACTAAGTTACGTGTTCCTTAGGATTACTTCCCGCAAATTGAGCTTGAAATTCCTGAAGGGGAATTCGGAAAGGCAACTGATGCTTGTGTAAATGAACCTGGTGTAAAACTTAATGGTTGTATCCAACAGAAGGCATGCAGCAATGATGAAAATACCGCCGATAATAAAAAAGAAAATATTAAGACACCCAAAAACAATCTGAGCGCCTCCTCCTACAAAACAACAAATGAGCTGTCATCATGTGACACCATCAGCAAACAATCCAGTAACAAAGTAGCTCTCGTTACGGGGGGTGCCAGCAAGATTGGAGCTCACCTCAGCCACAGACTCCACCGTAACGGATATAATATTGCCATCCACTACTGTAACGGAAAGGAAGTGGCTGATGACCTGACGGCACTCTTGAATGATGCTCGAGAGGACTCTGCTATCGCTGTTCAGGCTGATTTCTCTGCTTCACCCGGGGAGACCTCACTAAAAGTTGTCGAACAAGTTGTTCAACAGTGGGGTAGATTAGATGTGCTGGTGAATAATTCCTCTGTTTTCCACCAGACACCCATCACTGCAACCGATCAAGAGGTATAACTATTCTGCTACTTACACAATATTAAAGGCTTATTTAGTTAATTGGTCGTGCAAGAGAACTAATTATATATAGGCGAAAAAGCAAGAAAATTGGATTTGCCCAAAAGTCTAGATTTGCTACTATTTTTGCTTGTTGTAAACCAACGGGATGTAATAATACATGCCCAAAACCCTGAATTTTTGATCATTGAATAAATTCAAATGCCCTTTTATGATTGGTAAATACCGAACCATTTATTCCTCTCAGGTTTGGAGCAAGATCTTGATGACAAACCTTAGTTCCCCCTTCTTCCTCATCCAGTCAGCAACAAAGCACCTTGCACCCAACAAAGGCTGTGTTGTCAACATCTGTGACATTCACGGTACCAGGCCTCTCCTACATCACACCGCTTACTCGGTATCCAAGGCTGCACTGATAGCCCTGACACAGTCTGCAGCTCTGGAGCTGGGACGGAGTGGAGTCCGGGTTAATGGGGTCAGTCCTGGAGCTATATCCTGGATCCAGGGGAAACATGGTGAGGAGTACAAACGGGATGTTGTGAGCAAGACTGCGCTTAAAGCAACTGGGAGCGCGGAGGATATTGGGAATGCAGTGGACTTTGTGATTAATAATCAGTACTTAACTGGCCAAATAATCAATGTTGACGGTGGAAGGACCTTGAATCAATGATTACATTAATTGTAATCTTTGGGTCACGCGAAACTAGAGAAATGATTTTAAAATTCGTTACTTTGACTTGCATCGCACTAAAGTGACAGATTGAATTTGATATTTTATTGTTTTTTTACTGTGACAATCAAAATATCAATTGGTCTGATTATGTATGTAAGCAGTTTAGTTGCTATTTTATTTTTTGAATATTACAAGTTTTTCTTATAATTTGTTCTACTTTATCTGCACTACGTCGGATGAGATCCAATTGCCTCGTAATATTGCTTCTGCGGAACACTCCTGGCTTCTCAATACTCCGTCCCCAGAAAAATTTGTGAAACGAAAAGTCTAACTGATAGTGCTGATTACTGATTAGTGCACCGGTCCTGCTAGGTTCAAGCTGGAACTGTAACTTTCCTCCTTGAACTCATAGTTACCTCCTGACGTGACCTCTTCGGTTATGTGATTGATGTAATTAATCGAAGCTTTTTTACAATTTGTAAACCGTGAATGAATGGGAAAAGCGAGCGACCGATTTCATTCTTGGTATCATTTTGCATTTGCAGACGGTCAATCAAATTGATATCATTTCCTTTTGTTTGGGAAAGAGAGACCCTGACAGCGGTCCACTCTATACCCATGATTATGGGTTTTGGTCAAATACCCAATCGATTTCTCAGGACAAACAAATAAAATCAAATGTCGTATCGCGATTTATTTGATTTCATTTTAAATTGTTGGCATAGAGTTTACTGTTTTATTAGAAATTTCTTTGAAAGAATCAACAGAAGTTGAAATTGCAGTACGTTGTTTTTTATAAAGTAGAGAGCAGTTAGAATTTGTGTTACCTGGACAATTAGATTACCAGTCTGCAGGACTGGTAATACTTATATACAGATATACTGATATATTCCTACTCCTGCACTCCTGCAGACTTTGAAACTTTGAAAGAATCAACAGCAGTTGAAATTGCAGTACGTTGTTTTTTATAAAGTAGAGAGCAGTTGGAATTTGTGATACCTGGACAATTAGATTACCAGTCTGTAGGACTGCAGTACTACTTATATACAGATATACTGATATATTCCTACTCCTGCACTCCTGCAGACTGGTGGCTTTTAATTGAATTTCACGATCAAAAGGTCGGATGAGATCCAATTGCCTCGTAATATTGCTTCTGCGGAACACTCCTGGCTTCTCAATACTCCTTCCCCGGAAAATTACAAAGATCAAACTAATTATATGACGCAGTATAAGTTATATAAACTGGTGCTGGAAGGTGAGCAATACGGCTAATGAAAAACTTATAGTTATATAGTCTTGTAAAAGATGGAAATGGATCGAAGAATGTATGAAATGAAAGGACGCTGTGAGAATGAATGTTTCTTAAGATAACACAGTGGGGATCTGCTCAATAAATTAAAGATATGTACCTGTATTCTTAAAGAGAGTTCCCTTGATAGATGTTTTATGGATAAAAAGAATGCTGTGTGAAAATATCAGGAGGTGACCGGGACATGATTTCAGGCCTGACCGGGACCGGGACCGGGATACAAAATGTGACTTGACCGGGACCGGGATAGCTCAAAATTGAGATTATCAATTTACCGGGACCGGGACCGGGATGAAAAATGTGACTTGACCGGGACCGGGATAGCTCAAAATTGCCAATCCCGGTACCGGGATTCCCGGTACCGGGAATTCCGGTCGATTACTGGTTAATTCATGATCATAATTTATTACTCAAACTTGTTTAACAATTTTAAACATTGTTGTATTTGGCTCAGAGGATGTTTAAAGATGAAATTCACAATGAATGAAAGGAAAAACTTAAAATCACAGTGAATGAAATTATGTATAAGATCCCGGTCAAAATCCCGGCAAATTTGAGTGATTTACCGGGACCGGGACCAAGAATCCCGAATTAACCGGGACCGGGACCGGACCGGGATCATAAATAAATAAATCAGCATTTGACCGGGACCGGGACCGGGACCGGGATAGCTCAAAATTGCCAATCCCGGTCACCTCCTGGAAAATATGAATAGACAGATATGAATAATTTAAAAGAAAGATAGGCTTCAAATGGTGCTGGAGGATAGGTTATCAAGTTATCCTGGAGTAGCATCTTATGATGATTGATATGAACTGACACATAAGTGCAATGACAGGTTGACTGGACGACACTAATTATGATAATGTAATAACATGATGAAGCCGCAAAACTGGAACTTAAAAATGTGAGCGAAAGAGTTGTTTTAAAACAATGCTGGAATATCGAACAAATATATGAATGTGTTACCATGTGCCTTTAAGATAGCACATATTGAATCTGCGTAAATCTGCGTGTGAAAGAAGATACATATTAGTGTTCCCAGAGCGGGTTCCCAGGAAAGGTGGTTCAGAGATATTTAAAATAAATGTGTTAAAATGTGTAAAGAAAGATATGAATTATGATTAGATATCAAAGCAGCAGTTAGCGGTGTTGGAGGATAGGTTGCCAAAATAATCAGGAGTAGACTCTTATAATGATTGATATGAACTGACACATAAGTTAAATGACTGGATGACTCGTAATATTATTTTGTAATGTTATGATGAAGCCGCAAGATTGAATTTTAAAGTTGTGAATGATAGAGTTGTCTTAAAACACCAGATTTTTTATTATGTTACCAAATCTTCAACGGGGTCTTTGTTGTCTCTGTCGTAGTAGTTCCATTATGTTGTCTGGTATGACTTTTTCTTCGTTTTATTACGTCGTGTTACCATCCAAGATAGTATCTAAGGTTGCCTCAAAACATAGTGCTAATACTTAGCCAATATCGCTCTCCAGTAACCATGTCATAGATTGCACAGAACATAGTGCAATCACAAGGCAAAAATGCGCTCTCTCCACTAATTATAATTATATAGAGAGCCAGCTCGAAGAGCAGTAAAAATTGATATGTACAAAATTAGCAATTTGGAACTCAGATGTATATATAATAACATAAACCCGCCACGCAAAGGGTTTATATAACAGATCATCCCGCGCTAGCGGGATGATCTGATAAACACATACGAGTGCGCGCAGCGCACGAGTTTTGTGTTAATATGTAATCCCGAAGCGCCAGCTGAGGGATTACATTTATTTAGCCCTGAGCGTGAAGTGTTTATGGATTATAATTATCTCCGGCGATTTCGACAAGGGATTTATACTTTAGAAGAATGTCAAACCGATCTGTCATAGTGGAGCAATAGCTTGAACGTTAGCAGGAACAAGAGCTGGAAGGAGAGCAAGCAAAACAATACTATTTTTAGGGCACGGACAAGGGTAGCTGGCTAGTCGCCAACTTCTCACGCCACGCGTTGGAGAAATTCCAAGAATTAGCTGCTTTGGCAACGTTCCCAGGAGTTTGCGTGTAAAAGAAGTGGACGGTTACGATGTTTCATATCACGTGGTGCGCTTTCGTGTCACGTGGTATAGACTCGGCGTATGCTATTGGTGGCACGTGGTACGCACGTGACGCGCCCACGTGATCGCGCGTCTAACTGTTCTACTATTATCGAGTTCTAATCAGCAGTATCATTGATTATTGTAAGTCGGAGAATTGAATGATAAACATCAGTTACGACTAAAAAGCGGGCCGGGTTTATACAAATTTCCGGGGCGGGATGATAATAACATAAACCCGCCACGCAAAGGGTTTATATAACAGATCATCCCGCGCTAGCGGGATGATCTGATAAACACATACGAGTGCGCGCAGTGCACGAGTTTTGTGTTAATATGTAATCCCGAAGCGCCAGCTGAGGGATTACATTTATTTAGCCCTGAGCGTGAAGTGTTTATGGATTATAATTATCTCCGGCGATTTCGACAAGGGATTTATACTTTAGAAGAGAGTGATAAAATAGTTTTTATTTCAATCTGAATGTC